AAGGGTGGCTGCACTTTTGGGCCCTAAGCCCTCCATGAACCAATCTGTCGCTACTCTCCCTATACAGGTACTCTAGGATAAAAGCCAAAAGACAGCACATCATGATTTATCATCTTCATGCTAACACATAGAGTTTTTCTTTAGATAAACTCATACTTGAAAAATTAGCGTTTATATAATTTTAAAAAAAAATGTATCAATTTAAACTTCTAATTTGCATTCTGCGAAAAAAGTATAAAATCAATGTAGGTTACATTGACCATTCAACTCATACCTTACTTGTTCAGTAACTAAAGTTTAATTTTACCAAATTTGAAACTACATCCTCAGGCTTATCAAAAAAACGTCAGCAATCACAGAAAATTATCCAATCAAAAAACATTAAAAATTAGTTAAGTGTCCGAAACAACTTGAGTAGACCTCAGTTGTTTTTTGACGAGCGGTAAGCTCGAATTGAAAACTGTGCAAAGCGCTAATTTCTTGTGATTATAATTTGGGCGACATCAATATGACTCAATGTTTTGCGAGTAAGAAAAGGTGCTCATGAAGGGTCTTTCTGGCTCAAAAGATTTACTGGCTGTTCGTTTCCAAAATACTGACTGGTAGGCCAAATGATGCAGAAAAACTTTTTTATGATGAATTGCTAGTCTGTACAACATAGTTTGCAAGGGTTTTTATTTAAATTTGGACAAATTATATTTTGACGGTTTTTGTGCTGATCATTGAACTTGATACAGTCTCAAGCTGCCACTACAAGTATCGATTATTTTGCACTTAGTTCATTTTTGTACTTTAAACTTGCATAAATGAAGAGCAATTGTTCACCCTCTTTTTGCAAATCGTCTATTAGCAACGAAGAATTGACCAAGGATGAGGCGACCATTGCATTTAAGAGTCAGCTGACTCCACACAAAATTTAAAAGTAAACAACGGCCAACTTATCGTACGCAAGTTCAAAGTAATAACATTCCAGCTCTTAATATTTTTTCTGATGCATACTGTACCCTGTTCTTGGCACAACTATAAATTCTTCCACGGTATTGTACTCCATGAGCTCTGTATGCCTCATTGTACCCTTTGAAGCTCGCAAAAAGGGCGTAAGTTTAAAACTAATGACCCGCTGAAACAGTTACTATAAATGTCTTTTATGGCTCATCGGTATTTTGACTTTTACCAATTGTCAAAATATTCAATTAATTTTGGCGTATTGATGGCTAAAGTGCAAAACCATGTAACTAAGTTTTTTACGTTGCAGATCCTCTGGCATAGGTACTTTATTCTTTTTTTGGAAAACTAGCCAATATAATTTCTTAGAAACTCTCTTGATTTTTCCTCTCTGTTAGCAAAGTATTCTGTACAAATTTCAAGCTATAAAGTTGACTTGATTCTCCTCAAAAAAATTAAAGTGGAGCAGAAATTCTGGAACCCCGCAATGAAGATAAGTGGTTACGCACTTTGGCCATCAATCTGTCATGTGTGAAAGACAAAATTGTTGTTGGTCGGCGTTATGGGAAACTAGAAAGGCTCTGGTTCAGGTGACGCCAAAGTGTGCCGCTTAAATCATACGTGAAACATTTATTGATTTGTAAAATCTTACCTTGAGACTTCGCCACAAATGTTGGGAACACCAAAATATTTCAGAGTCATTCCATTAATTTGTGATGGCTGCAGAAAGTTGTAAAGGCGAGAGTTATAGCGATAACGTTCCTCATACATTGTTGTAAGCAGCGGGATCCGATCCTGCGGCTTAGTCAGGAAATGCTTGGCCCAAACTATCAGCTCTATTTTTTCCTTATTGTCAATGCAGCTCTTGACATAAGCTTTCACTGCTTCATCATCAGTAAGATCAACATCTAGAAATAGGTAAACATTGTTTCAATGATTGTTACTCGATGGAAAACTTCAATTGTTTCATCAGTCAAGACTTAATCGGTAAGAAGGTACGTCTAAGATTTGCTGGGTATGCTACAAAATAGACCACTAGACGGGGTGTGAATTAAAGTTTGATGTATGCTTTTTCATCAAAATTTCACGTAGAACAGAATTCATGCAGCCAAAATCATTGAAAGTAACTCCTATAACCAAGATACCTAGTAACGTTTTTCAATGCCTAAATTTAAACTTCCCTCTCATTAAAAAACCATACCTAATCTACTTGAGTTAAATTGCACACTAAATGTCACCGTAACAGTTATTGTTGTGTAAAATTATGGCAACTTCATGCTCAACGCTTTAGCTCAGCTGTTGCATGTTTTTAAGATTTTGAACAACACAGAGCTGGGAAGGAAACTCTGATTGATTAAGAAGCCTGCCAAATCGGTCATAAGTAGTGCACGATTTTATTCACATAGATTTTGGTTTTTCTTGTGAGCAGGAAATTTAATTTATTCGTAATCATAGTGAAATATTAAAGTGTTAATATCTTGATTAAAAAATTATTGAAATTGCAATCTGCAAAGTTTATTGCAAAATTTAGTACCTACACCCTCTTTTAATAGTTGTTCCATTCCAATTAGCTGCACAGTATGAAGATGGATTTTTGGAATAAGAAACAAATTAAATGCACAACTTTGTATTGTACTTATGTACTTGCGGATAGATGATTCAAGCTTGGACGATCTTTGATTTCGAGGTCTTACTAACCGTGAACATGCATTTGCTTAAATTCTAATTCTACCCATGCCTAAACCTAGCTCTGACAACTCTTATTACATATACAAGAATATCCAAATTTATTTTTGCATTGCCTGGTATCCTTGCCAAAATATAGTCAGTCAGTTCCACCAAAGAAAAATTGATGTCACAATTTCTCTGCACCAGTTATTGAGATTGCCACATTAAAAATAGAAATCATTTATTTCAAATCAGTTTACGTGGAGGAATTTATAGGAGCGCTTTCATCTCCCAGGTAAGTACCTAGATATCTATTATTCCAATTTTTATGTGCGTTGTGGATATTTCAGGATAAAAGGAATAGAATTAAGTATGTGTGGTTGGTGATTATGAACTATCAAAGTCAAAACAATTTCAAAAGAAGGTGAAAATTTAGGAGAAATAAAATAACGTCACTGAGTTTGCCCTTGTAAGAATCCACTAATTCCTCAGCCCTCATACTGTCAATTCAATATGACGAAACTGAAAGGAAGTTCTCAAAGTTAAGAAAAATTTCAAGGCAGTTTTAAGTGTGTTTCATATTTGGATTGCATTTTTCGAAAAGGAACCAAGAGCATTGCAATGTTACTATGATCGTGCAACTTACATTCTTTGCAATAAAATTACTGAAGTCGTGCGAAAAATTAAATTTACAAAGGTAATTTTCGTCTTGAATTATAGTCTATTGGGAGAAAGGATACAACTTCTTTAGATGATCAGTTTATATTTGCAAGGTAAAAAAAGTTGCACCATCTTAGCGACATTGTAATAGGTACTCTTGGTTCCTTATTGCAAAATGCAATCCATTTAATGAGTTCCCAATTTTCATCTCTACATCAATGGCAGTATGGCATGTCTCCAAATTAAAGTCAATCCAATTTATTTGCACAGTGAAAATTTTTGTGTATAGGTACCTAGCTTTGCCCCCCCCCCCCCCCCCCCCAGTAGGTATGTCAATGCCAAATCTACTCACATCGCCTCACAGCGAAAGTGGATCAGACTGACTCTCATCAAACAGCTATTAGATGCAACAAATTTCTGACATAACATGGATCATTTTGGTAGCAGTTTAGTGTCAGCCTCTGACATCACTCTGATGTCAGAATATAATCGTCAGTGAAATTACCAGACCACATATCTCAGTTTGCGACGTTGCAGACTTCCTGTCATACTTAAGTACTTTATCTTTGAAATGAAAAACTGCCCAACATAGGTAAATTCTTGAAAATTCCCATGATTGTTCTTCTCTACGAAGAAATCTCAGTAAAAACTTTAAGGAATGATGCTGGCTTGTCTTTTTTTAAAAAAAATTGGCAGTTGATTTTTTTAAACACTGCAAACAGGATATATGATCTGATAGTTTCACCGTAGTTGTAGTGCCATTAAGAGGAGCTTGCAGCCTGATGTAGATCAAAGTACATGGGTACCTAAGTAATGAAACTGACAATAAGTCACTATAGTCAGTCTGACTTTAGATTGACTTATTCTCCAGGAAACATACCTACTTGCCCCCTTCAACTCGGTTTTACTGATTTTAGGATTGGGCAGTTATACATTTAATATTACAGAGGAGGTGACCAAGTCTCCTGTTTCCAAAATGGTTTTAAGAGTAGTTTAGGTAAGGCCGCCACTTTCAAGCTATGGTCGTCTTTGAATCTTACTTACAAGATCCCCAGATTCCTTTGACGTCCCTGAAAAGATGTAGGTAGGCAAGAAGGATAGGTTCTTTGTAACACTTCATTATGTACGAATTGGATGCAAGTTATAACATTAAATTTGCTCATCTTTCAACAGAGGAGGGAGAAAATCTACTCGTGCTTAGAAACAAGTGTTTTACGAATATATTTTCGGTGGGTTCATGTGCTTGAGCAAAAGGAATCAAAGTATGGAATGCTCGGAAATAGATATTTAAAAGAGTCCTCACCGAAATCAAATTCCATATTGACCTGTGACTGAATGTTTGGTATCTGATCGGAATGAATCCCAACGAAAATAATAGTTGAATATACGTTCTCCAATGAATCGTCTGAGCTACTGGATTTTGTTTTCGGCTTCCGCTCTCACGTTCTTTGAAGGTTTTATTGGAATTTACTTTGACTGCGACGAGCTAGTAGCTACCTGACCGATTCTCAAATGAAAAATGTTTGCCGACTTGCCGAGTGCGGGCTGTGCTGTGGAGTAATTTGACTACGGACTACAGATGTGACGGAACCGGAAACGGCATAGAGAAAAGAAAGCGGAAACGGTCCCAAGCAGCACTTTTCCGGTGCGGCTCAGCCAATCAGCGTCCGTTCAGTACTTGGTTATTTCCTATTGGTGGATTTCCTTTGACAACATTGACATAACCTCAAATCCCATCTTCTGATAAAGGATCCTGTAGTGACATGGAATATAGCTGTTGAGAATTTCCCTTCATATTGATAACCGGCTTTCCCACTAATATGTTTCAGGTTTATGATATTTTGTTAGTTTTCCAGTTTATTTTAAGTTTAGCTTGCAGTTCGAGTGTACTAAAGCCTCGAGGTGTTGCCTTATCAAGTAAGTACCTCTAGTTCCTGCTATCTGTTCAGGTGGTTCTGGGCTTGTCATTCCCACTTTCTGTGGGGTAGGTACTGAAAGGAGGGACCTCACTCCTTTAAAATTCACCTCTTCGGAGATTCTTGAAAAACTCACATTCCCCAATGAAAGAAAGTCGCACCAGGTGCGCAAAGATCTCATAAATTGCCTCTGAAATATCAACTTATTTGCCTGTCCGGACCAGAGAGTTAGTTGCATTGCTATCAGAGCTTAGTCTACATTTTAAGTCTATGAATATTTATGTCATTCTTCCGCAAATGCTAGTTATAGGGTATAATTAGTTAGCTCCGTGTAAATGGTCTTCCATATGTTAAATTTGAAGCTATAAAATTTAGAACGCCAGTAATTCAAGTGGGACAGTTACCGTTTGCCTGAAAGATCACTCATATGAACATTTCTGGCTTAGTTTAGTCCAATTCTTTTTACCTGAAGTTTTTCGACCATATAGTAGATTTGATGTTCTTTTTTTCTTACAGAAGCCTCCCTCTACGTTCCGAATGCAGACTTCACATGTTTCGATGGAAGTTACACCATACCTTTTGTGTATGTAAACGATGACTACTGTGATTGCCAAGATGGTAGTGATGAACCAGGCACATCTGCTTGTCCAAATGGAACTTTCTATTGTACAAATGCTGGACATACCCCACAATTAATACCATCATCGCGGGTCAACGATGGCATTTGCGGTAATTGCTTTAAAACATTGCATACAATATGTTTAAATTTTAAGTGGTAAATTCACGTCTGTCATCTTTAACTATAAACAATGAGGTTAAAAAATTTTATTTACCAGCTTGAGACAATAAAATATGGTATGAACAATGACAAAAACACATAACAACAGGAAACTTGGTTAACAATTTATACTTAAGAAGAAGAAGAGAGAAAAAAGGGCTGGAATGTTTTGGCTGGTTCCCTTATTTAGTATGAAAGATTGAAAAATAAAAAGTTAAAAATCATATTTTTGGTCTGGTGTTTAAACAGAGGAAAAGAAATGATACATTGATAACACAAAGACCAAAAAATCAATGCTTTTCTCTTGGTTGGTTTTGTCTTCAAGGTATCAATTGATCGTTTTTCTTCTTTAGTCAAGGACTAAACCAAAAAACAGTTTTCAGGTTTCTATCCTTCAATTTTGTATCTTTATACATATTCTCATCAATTTTTAAAGTCTGAGTTACTTACCATCCAGAACGTTTCAGTTTTTTCTTAGAAAGTTTTTTCCTTGCTTTCCATTGTTTCCTTAATCAACTCATGGCTGTACCTTTGTTATCCCTGTCAACACTTTTTTGGGCTACGTCAAAATACATGGTGTTATTCTATTCCCTCTTCATGTCACCAAATCATCTGCTCAACGGTTTTTGCTCTCTGAGCATTTTATCTTCTTCACGTTTTAGCCTTTGAGTCCTCATCATACTCACGGTACCGTGTTTTGCACCATGTTTTTAGATTGTTGTGATGGTACAGACGAATATGCAACTCATGCCAACTGTGTTAACAACTGTGATGCATTGGGCTATGCAGCCAGGGAAGAGGCTCGTCAAAAAGAAGAATTAGTTAGGCAAGGAAGTGAACTTATGCGGCAATTAAGTGACCATGGAAAAAAAATGAAGAAAGAAAAGCAGGTAATTTGAACCCATTCAAGCTGTTGCTTATCAAAGTATTTGATGAAACCTTCTAAAATCTAAATTTCACATATTCTTTAGTGTGACTCATTCAACTTGAGAGAATATCTTTTAAAATACCTGTTTTACATCGTGATAGAATCGACAATTGTTTTTAGGAGTATTATTCAGGGAACAGAAAAGAACTCTATTCTCTTAAGCAGAATTAGAAATGAGAGAAAATTTTCAGCCAAGAGATACTCATAGGCCAAGAGTATGTTCACACTGAAAGAATCATACCTAGTAGAATATTATTTTAAACCACAAACTTTGATTCAGCATGAAAAATTCAAAGTAATAAAAAGAAACTTACTCGCTTGTTTATGACTAAAACTAGTAGGTACATTTCGAGCTTCAGTACATCCTTTTTGCAACTGATAGGTGAGATTCGTGTGATTTTTTATGCTTTCTTGAACCAGCTTTCCTATTTTCTAAATTCCCTCTCGACAGCTTGTCATCTTGATGTGCAATGCATTCGTTGTGTGCTCTAGAAATTTTTGCACTAGCAGGATATTCAACCAGTAGTAACTTTCTTATTCCTCAGTAGTATAATACATTTTTCACTATTTTGTTGGTTTTATATTTACACCTCAAACAGTGTTTGTTATTTCTGGTTGTTTAGTGCATCTCGAACAAATTGAAAGATCATGCTTTTCCAGGGTATTCTTTGAAAAAAGTCGTAAATGCCCATCAGCTTATAGAAGGAAAGTTGGAAGTTCGTTTCAGGGGTGCAGATGTTGATCAATTGATTGATTGGCTGGTCATGGTTTGGTCGTTTGGGAGAATGTGAAGGCTGCCAGAAATTCCAAAGTCAGTAGGTTCTTTTTCTCTTTTCTGTTCAAAGAGATACCATTTTGCGTGGATTTGCCAAATTATATGCATAAAATGATTTAACAAGCTACTTTTTGTTCAGAAAAGTGTAGAATTTTTTTTTTATTATTATACGCAATGGTATAGAAGGTGTCTCAAGAAATTTGGAGGTTAAGAACATTCTGCGCCCTTGGTTGATTTAAGCAATCGATGGAACATATGATGATTAGGTAACAAGAGATGAACAATACCTGAAACTTCGAATTCACCAGAAATCTTGACTACGCCGTTCTTTAAGTGATGGTGAAGAGGGCGCTGGAAAGTAAACATCAAATGGACCTGATGATAGCACAACATTTTTAGTTAAATCCGCGGATCACTTGGTAAGTTTTGTCATATATCAGAATGCTCTATTCAAGTTTTTTCCTCAACACAACTTATGTACTTTGTTGCAGGAACGATTACATCAACTGGAAAAACAAAAACAAGAGGCAGAATATTTGAAGCAAGAGAAAGAAAAACTGAAAGCAGAAGCCGAGAGTTCGGAGAATGTGGCATTGGAGAAATACCGATTGATAGAGGAGCAAGAGAAGAAGAAAGTAGCTGAAGAAGAAAAAAATGCACAAATGCAAGAAATTTTCAAGTTTTTCTCCGACATTGATCAAAATCATGATGAAATGTAAGGATTATATTCATTTGTTCTCTCATGGACTCCTTTTGTTATTTCAATTTTTCATAAATGTATGCTATTGAGTCTTGCTCCTTTTCATGATAACTTAATGCTTCAGTAACTCAATTTCGTAGACCTAGGTCTCTTTTCCCATGGACAGTCAAATGTGCACAAAAAAATTTTCTTTTTCATGTTTGAGTATCAATTTTTCCCTCTAAATGTTAATTTAATGCATTATTTCACTATTGTTTTCCCCCAGAATAACTATCGATGAAGTTCAAGCTTATGGTGTGTTTGATACAAACAAAGATGGAGTAATATCAGATGAGGAAGTACAGGTAAAGTGTTTTAAATTTTACGATGACTACTTTCTTTGTTTGAACTGAATTTTTTATTTACTAATGCCTCGGATGAATTCATTAAAAATTTATCCTTTCCTCTTCTGAATGAGCCGTGAGGTTAATCTTTAAAGTTGCATATTTAGTCAGCTATTGCTGCCTTTTAGCGATGAAGCCCACCATTACCATAATTTAAGTACCAAGACCTTTCATGGGTCGTGAAGTTGACTTCAAGTACTGTTGAAAGTGAAACTTAGTCGTACTGCACAGCAGCTACTAATGAGACAGTTAGGATTCTCAAGTAAATTTCAAATTGAACTTGAATATTTTGTTGTCCTTAGCAAGTGAACGTTTCTACTGAAAAAACATCAAATGTCCTCGTTTGATTTTCATAATTGACTGTAATTTACCCAATGCAGACTTTTGCTGGAGCGAAAAAAAGAATTATTTTCCATGAAAAATAGCTGACATATTACATATGAAGAATAAAGATTATGATTACAGTGAAAATATACCGATCAGTTTGCATTATCTTACTTAAGCTGCTTACGTAATTATACTCGTAGTAATATTTTTATTTTTCTTCTCTTTCTCATTAGTATTTCCTAGGAGCTGCAGAATCTTATAGTTGGTCTCAGTTTCATGATATTGGATGGCCCCGTTTGAAACCTCTGCTGATTGCTTACCAACAACAAGTGGAAGCTGAGAATCAGCAACAGACTGGCTCAACGTCTCCCAAATCAAACGATTTTGATGACCAAGTAAGATCATCTGGTTTTTTTTTAGTATTCCCGTGATTTTTGTAACAAAATACACCCCTAAAAATGAGTTCAAGTTGCATACTTCAAGCTCTCATTTTAATGCACTCTGCCTAAAAATCCACATGGTATCCGAAAATATCCTTCCTGTTGCGGCCACACTCCCGAAGGCTGTACGGTGCCTCTTCCTTAATGAATGATCCACACTGCTGTGCATTGATTGATAACAGCTGCTCGGATTATGATTTGTAGCAGTGGCACTGCTCTGTCGGAAGTGCACCTGCTTCGGGAGGAATATTTTCAAATGCTGTTAGGATTTTCTTGGTGATGTGCGTTTAAAGTGGAGCTCAAAATATGCTACTTTGAACTTTTAAAAAAAATTGTGCATTACACATGAGTAAATACAGTAGGTCGCAAACTTGCAATTAATTCTTTTGATAACTGCAGGGAATTTCTGTTTCCATTATCTGCAAAGATCTATGTACTTACAGTAAAAATCCTTAGAGGAAGAATAAGAATAAATTATAATTTTTTTAGAATGTTTTTTTTAATTTTATTTTAGTTCAATTCAAAAAAATTTTTTCACAACACTTTTGAGTAAATTTTATAAGTGCTTTAAAAATCCACTGAAGTGCTGCGTATATGGAATTGTAGAAAACCAAGAATCCTTGGACATACTACTGTATGTACTAATTCTATAAAAGAAGAAAAACATTTTTTGTAAAATTTTCCTGCCTATGCTTGAGTGTATGTATCCATCACTTGATTTGCTATATTATCAATTACCTAAAAATTCCAATTGTATTCCGAACACTTTTTCCAGGATCGAAGTGAAGAATCAGATCATGAGCCTGACCATGAACCTGAGGCAAGTACCTTTAGTGATTCTCTCTGTGAAATTCATGATACTTCATAATTGCTTTGAATTTCGATGGTGAAACAACCAAACCACGTTTCTTGTATGTTGTGTTTAAAAATCTCCGCTCTCATTTCCAATTTTTGAAGAAGAATAAATCAATATTGTTCCCTGAAGCTTTCACAGAATTTTCTTACCACAAAGAGGAAAATTCAGGGAAGTTTTCAAAAATTGACGAGGAATAGTTTTCCATTTAAAAACTTAAGTATTACAAGAAGTCTGCAACATCGCAAACCGAGATAAGTGGTCTGGTAGCTCACCATTGATTCATGATGTCAATGTGCAGTCTCTTTCATCAACAACTTTTTGTGCTCAGCGAATGTTCTTTTTTGTCATGGGAGACTTTTGCTCATTTTATTTACCACATCCCCTGAGCTATTTTATTTCTTTTGTAGGAGTAACTCAACAATTTAAGTTCTCTGGCTCTGAAATTAATGTTGCACTTGTTGAAAATTGTTCCTCTTAACCCGTTTAACCGAACGTCTTACAGCTTGTAAGCAAAGTCAAGAGACTGTACTGCACTGATGATGGACCCAGAACGAGTCTGCAATTGCCTTCTTGCCTTCTGGATCGGTCATAACTAGTGTTACTCCAAACAGCGGAGCTCTGAAAGGGAAAGTTTGGCGAGAATGAGTTTTTTTCCATATGATGTGTATAAGTACCGAGGTCCATATGATGGAATGTTAACAACTCTGCTCCTAATCTGACCACTCATCTCACTTCCATCCATCGTAATTTTGATTTGTTTTTTCCATTTTCATTTGCGAAGGAAGAAGAAGGGGATGAAGGAGATTTGGATGATAAAGAAGAGGAAGATCATGCTTCCGAAGAGCCAAGTCCGGATCACTCAGCCAAGTATGATGAAGAAACTCAACAATTGATTGAAAGTAAGAGTCCAAAAATTACTGTATGAAATCAGCGAACCTTTTATTTTTGTTTTTTTCGTTCTCTCTTGTTGTTTCCTTTTTTTTCCTTTTTGTTGTTGTTGACCCAGAAGAAAAGATTTTTCTCAGCTGCCCTACCAAATAGTTGCCAGAAACTCTAGATTGTATACTTGGGACCAGAGCAGAAGTGACAAATGGCAATAGGCCATGCAGATAGCCAATAGCTGCTGGATGTCACAGGAGACGGAGTGCTTATCACGTGGATTTAAAGCATGCTTCATTGTTGTGATCCAGACTTACAAATGGCCAGTGTTATCTCCCTGCACAAATGAAGACCTTAAATCAATAACGGGCTAAGTGCCAAAAAAATGAAAATCGAGTTAGACCTCGAATAGTGTTCTCTGTACCAAGGACAGCAACCCGTGAAGCGGGCTGAGTGCCACGACCATGACAGTAGTGTGCAGTGTGCCCCGATAGGTAGCGGTACGTGGTATGTGCCGGGCAATCTGTGAGAAATAAATGTTGAATAACTGAAACTTGACTTTTTGGCACTCAGCCCGTTATTGATTTAAGGTCTTCAAATGTTGCCCTCTCATTCATTCTATCTCCCAGAAAAAATGGCTTGTTCACACTAATTAATGGAGCCCTGGACTAAGCAGTTCATTATTTTCCCCTTTAATCCACGGATGTAGGCTGATCACTCAATTTTACAATTTTATTGTAATTTGTCACTTAACCAATGTATGTTTTTCTTTGAAAGGTGCGAACAGAGCAAGATCAGAGTATGACGAAGCTGAAAGAGCTGTCAGGGACATCGAAAGAGAAAAGAAGCAGATAGAGGACTCTATAAACAAAGATTACGGATCTAATGAAGAATTCGCACCTCTCGAAGGAGAGTGCTTTGAATACACTGACAGAGAGTACACATACAAATTCTGTCCATTTGATCAGGTTTGTCAAACCTGATATTTCTTCTTTGCCAAAAGTATTTTTTTTTAGATTTTTCAAACTCGGTAATATATGCTTTGCAAGCATGTGTAGCAGCAAGCTGCTAATTTATGCTCTTTTGTGAATAATTGCAAATTTTTGTCTACAATATCGAATAGTATTTGATTTTTGGGAAGGAAAATTTTACTCACGATCAGTGCACTTCACACCAGATGATTTCAAAATGATGTTTGTTCCGCAACTCAAAGAAGGTGGATGGATTCAGATCAGCCTGTCTGGGAGTCGAATCACATCATTTTTGGAATGTCCTTTGTTCAGATGGTCCATGTTGCTTGAAGTTTTCTCAATTTTATCCTTTAGTTCTCAGTTTTTCTAACAAGATTACATAATAGACGATAATATTGTGATAAGGTTTCATCAGCACTGCTCCTTTCTCATGAAAGGAATGAACCAAACTCTTCCACAAAGGCGTACTTCAGAATTTTTTTTTTATATTTCATAATGTTTAAAGTTAGCTATGACATGTTTCTCCTCTCTGTCAAAGAATCAAAGCTTTAAATGTCTCTTGGATTTTCCAGATAAGTCAAAGGCCTGTAAGTGGTGGTATGGAAACCCGACTAGGAAATTGGGCTGGTTGGATTGGACCAAACAAATATGATGCAATGAAGTATGATGGAGGTCAAACGTGTTGGAATGGTCCTCCCAGATCAGCACATGTAAGCATGTTAATTGGTTTACTTCCTTTTACTGTTTTTAAGAAGTTGAGATCAGGATTCAGATGTCAATCATAAACGTTTCAGAACTTCCTTATCGAATGTTGGGACGAATATCAAAAGTATCTAAAATCTTGATTCATTTTTCTGCTACTGATGAAAATTTAAAAAATTCATGAGTGCGGTCTTTTCCAGGCTCACCAGCCAATTGTGTTTGTCCAAATATACAATTCATATGCTCAGAAAACTTTTATAGGTTAGGAAAATTTCCTATCAAATGAAATTTCCACTGGAAATGAATTCTGTTTTAAAGCAATTGTGACCGCTCTGTAGATTTTTTTGCTGCACAGGAAAAACAGGGTTACTATTACATATTATTGAAAACTGGGAAATGCCAGAAAAAATGACAAATGAGACCGGGAAAAATAGTTAAACCAACTTTATTTGCTTTCTCGAGTATGTTTGACATTTCAAACAACAAAAGCTCTGTCAGTTCTGAAATCTGTCTTCAGTCTGGTTCAGTTCAGAGGTGGCAATTTTTAACCATCTTGATATCATCAGATGTCAGGGAATTTTACTAGAATTTGTCAGAGAACTCACGGAAGTGTCAGGAAATTTCGTTTTATGAATTCTGTGGTAACCCTGGAAAATATATCCTAGTTTTGACATTCCCTATCTTGTCTGGAAAAGAGGAAGATCATAAAGATGAATGAACTCACAAATGAGCACAAATATAATTTTTCCCCCTCTTATTGTAAGATGAACTGTTTAGCAAAGCTTATTACCACAAAATTTAAATATTTTGTATCGATCAACTAGTTCTAACAAGATTTTTGTACATTGTAAAATAAAATGAACATTTCTTGCGAACATATAGTGGGACAGGAAAAGTATGGGTTGTAAATTCTGTAAGTAATGCTTTTCAAATCAATGTCAGCGATCATAATGAAACTTTAATTTTCTGTAAATTATAATGTCGTTTACCTCTTTAAATATGCATGTAAAATTTTCCCATGGAAAATCTGTGCAAAAAATTAAACTTTAAGAGAAATAGCCCTCTCTGGCGAGTTTTGATCCATATTTTAGTTTTTATGGTTTTGAGAAACCTCCCACTGCTTATTCTCATGTTCTAATATCAAAAAATTTCTTTCTGTTGCAGATCAATGTTTTATGTGGTCTAGAATCAGCTTTAATCTCTGCTAGTGAGCCCAATCGGTGCGAATATTTATTTGATTTTATCACACCAGCTGCCTGTCATCTAGACTTGATCAAACAATACGAACAGCATGAACACGATGAGTTGTAAAGATAGAAAATTCCTAAATTGTTTGGCAATATTTGCTACTTATGTTGAAAATATTTTTAAGTACAAAAGCTCACCGATAGGTAGTGTCCGATTCCATCTCATTCGTGTTGTCGCATTGATAACATCAAAAATGTTTATGCATCCCAAAACAAGGGTAATCATTTTTATCTCATTTGTACATCTCCATCCAATCAGTTGTTATTATCAGAAGAAGGGAATGTTTCTGGTGGGTGAATCAATGGGTTTGCGTTAAAAAAAAGAAATGGATAACATTTGTCCAAATTTTATTGATCATAATCTAACTTGCAGCTTAAAGCATTACTAAATCATCAGTCTGCCTTAGGATACAAACCAAAACAATGGCTTAATGCAGTTTATTCTTAGTAGCTCCAACAAGATTATTTCTCATTTTTCGGATTATAGTCAATCAGCCAACATTGATTATAATAGGTAACCACAAGACAGGATGAAAATTTAGTACTACGAGACTTGTTCCCCCTAAAACTTCACTCAGAACACATTTATTGTATCCAAAGCTTCTAAAATCACCTTATGAACACAAAATTATCGCATGTTCTTAACATTAGAATTTAAGGTTGATTGCAAAAAACCAAAATCAATGTAAGTTCAATCCAAGATAGAAAGCAATCTAATTTGTTCGATAAATCAACAGCACCTCTACACCATTTTGCTTTGCAAAATTTTACCTCTACTACAATGCGTGGAACTTGTGAACAAGTCAAAGAAATTTAGCATACAGAAAATTCTGCAGTTAAGAAGTATACTGAAAATAGTTAACATCCGATTCTATTTCAGTAGACGTTAGTTTTTATTGAGAGCAGAAAGGGTGGATAACACTGACAAAAATGCCATTTTATTACTTTTGAGTTAAATTTGGAACCGTGCAGTGTGCTTGCTGCATTCTACATAAAGTTTTGATGAGGAAGCATGTTTTGAAGTGCTCACTTTCTTACCCCGTCTTTATGTTTCAAGGCAAAAATTCTATGGCAACAGGTTGATTTTTTCAAGCATCCTCTTTTTCTTGAAATTTCTCATATGACACTATCACCTATTTGTAAATATGACATAGGAAACGGGTGACTGTATGCCGAGGACTCCAAATCATTATTTATTTTTTGAATTACAGCAATCAAGCCTGAATTGAATGAATTAGATTTATTTGTAGGAATTACTTGAATAGCAAAGAAAACACCGGTTGTGGTTCGTGCGTGTAAGTCTGCTGAAAGGAGAGTGAAACGCAAATCGATGGCTAGGAAAATGCATACCTCCGAAAATGTTGTCGCAATTCTCTGTTCATATTTTATCTCTTGAGCAGGAAAATAACCAGTGATTCTTCTTGAAATTTTTTGTGGATAGGTTTCAATTTGGGAAGAAAATTCACTGAAAATTCCGAGGTAAACTGTTCATTAGTTTCCTCTTTCAATTTTTTTTTTTTTTTTTAAAAATGAGTAGAGTTTTTGAAACATTGTAATGGAGATTTGGATTTTTGTACTCTAGCCATCGAAATGTTACTTCTCAGTCAAACTCTGTGTAATATATTTATTTTATTTTCATGAAGTTGTTTACAAATTTGTTTAGATTTCTCGTAATGGTCTCTTACTCTCTATTTTGAATGATTTTAAACTAAGTTGCTCAAACTGGATGTTACGTAAAGGATAATAACAAAAGAAATGGAGCAGAAATTATTGTAAAAAATTTTATCACAGAGATTTTCTTTTTATCATATTTTGCTTTTATTTTTACCATTATTGTTTTAGGTAAAATTTTCCATTTCCATCGGTCTCTTGATTTACCTGATCATTATTATAGAATAGTGAGCGACGTTCAATTTAGAATTAGTCAATACTAGTGTCTTACTTGTGATCAGGTGTATCGTTTCTCTGTAATTGTTTTATCTTCTTTTTTCGGTGATATACTGTCTGTAATCTATTTTTTCTTTTTCTATCTATTTTTCTCCCTTTCCATCTCTTTTGTCCCCTCGGCTCTCCTCTATACTTAAAATATTCAGATGCTGATGTAATGAAAGACCTTTTTATTAAACCAATCAACGGTTATTATTCGTTGGATGTCCTGCAACTACTACACAACTTTTAATGCAGATATTACCTAAAAACCATCCGTTAGTTTCTAGTTTTTTAAGTCTTTGTGATATGTACCTTATAAATAAGATTATGTCAGAACTGTAATATTTTGAACCAATTTTTGTGCATTTATTGTAATTCACAGTAAAATTTTTGAAGCTATTCAGCCATTTCACCTATTTTTCTTTCCATTTTCACTTTTGAATCAAGATTAAAGTGACCCCTCAAAATTTTACGATCACAAGGTATATTAGGCATACATGAGGGGCATTTAAGTGTTCATGCAGATTCTTGTTAGCATTGGGGCACATATATGAGTTAGTGGTTTATGTATTAATTTACTAAGATTTTTTCCGAGCACTCTTGCAACTATTTTTTGTGATAGTAGTAAAATGCTGATTTTTTTTTCATTGTAAAAAAATTTACAGTTTATGCATTTGATTATCAGAAACGGTTAATTTTCAACAATTAAATGAAACTACTGAGAGCTGCCATCAGCTCAGGATCTGAAAGAAAAGCTGGAACTCTTGAGAATATTTTTCGATTGTAACTGAAGAAAAACTGAGCTTGATTTTCCGCTAACTCAAATTTACAAGAGATGATTAAAAATGCAAAAAAAAAAAAAAAAAAAAAAAAAAAAAAAAAAAAAAAAAAAATAATCATAAGTATGAAAGATAAAAAAAGCATTTTGCTATTTTTTAGTGGCACATCTCGAAATGATGATTTCACCAGCACACATTAAGTAGTGCTTGAAGAGTTCAATGAAACTAGTGACGATTTAGGGGCTTAAGTAGATAGTTCATGAAAACATTTTCAGAAAAGGTGCAGGGAAGTTAATGAAAATTGAATCTTTCAGTTCGGAAATGACTCAACTCGGGTTTATACGATGTTCATTCTTTTGATTGGAAATACTCCTTTCCTGACCCCATAGTTTTTACCGTCTCCTAATAAATTTCATTTTTCCGAGGTGGGTCACTTTTGAACTGAAAGATTCAATTAATTCTTAAATGATGATGGAAAATTTTTGATTTTTGAATGAATTATCCTGAATAAAACCTGTTCTAACTCCCACTTCGTTTCTTACAGTCATTGGCTGACAAACGTGAATGGCAAAATTTGAAGATAACTTTTTACTCTTTGTTTTCGTCCGTACCATAGCAACCTATTAAGTCTGATTTTACATGGGAGAAAAGTAGAGAGGAAGAGGTAAGCAACAGGATGATAGAATAACGCTGGGTCCACAGGACTCTAGGTCCACATCAATCTATCAATCTGCAGCCCAGTTAAAAATCCCGCCACGGTTTTACTACAGCGCTCTCTCGTGATATTTATGAACACCATGCTGTCTCCAATTTTTAGGTTATGTTTAATTATTATGTTATCTCATATCATATCATGATTCATAATAATATTGATGATTCTGTATATTTTCTTTTAGTCCGTCTCTAATTTTTCTCTCACACTTGTACTTCAGGAAAGTAAACCTCCAGTAGATATAAAATCCAAATTTTATTATTGTATAACAATTTCTATATTCCCACAGTTGCGAATAATTACTTAAGTGGTGTTTCCACAATTTCGTCCTGCTGTGTTCTTTTTTTCCTTCAACTGTTTTGTGATGTGAGGTGCCTACTGAATTCGTTCGGATGTTCATAGAACTCTAATCCTGCCGTGTTCAGTCTAATATTCTCGATGAATTTTATTATGAGCGATACCAAAACCAACAACAGTTTCAAAAGTTACATCGGACTACATGACACCAATCTTTCGGTGAGTAGTAAGTTAACATTTTTTGAAAAGGAAGGACGTATTCTTCTCTCACCACAAGTAGAATCAGCATTCAAATTTGCCCGCAAGGATTTCACCATAGCATTCTCATGTCCTTACTCTGGTCTGCATGGGAGCGATGATTTATGGTCATAGCTTGGAAGATGATGAAATCGCTCCAGACCCTAACCCTAACAACTCCTGGACGAATCTACCTAAGCCAGGCCAATTTATGAATTGCACTCTTAAACTTACTTTATTTAGGACTGACAGCTTGGATAGTTCATATTCTGCACCACAGTAGATCTTTCTGTGATTTCTTACGTATCACTTTACTGCGGGAGGATAGTAGGTATCATTTTTAATCTAAATGGGCCTGTTGCGAACTTTTGCTAGAGCAAAAATGAGAGTTGTTTCTGCCCGTTAATGTTTCCAAAATCACGATGAGTACATTAGCAAAGTTTTAAACGCAACCCTAACTTCATAACCTGTGTAAGAAATTTGCGTTTTTTTGAGCTTCCCGCTTCTAAAGCGATACTACGGCACAAGTAAACATTTCATTAGAGGTGTCATTCTATCCAACCCCTCTTGACTAGTATGCTACACAATATTTAATATTATTTAACATGGCCGACACCAATCCACCGAAACACGTGCCTGGACGAGATTCTAAACATTTGTTAACAACCTAGCGTGCCTACATTGACGATTTCTTCGTGTTGGTAAAGATTCACCTTGGTTGACCATGTGCTTCGAATTTGGGTATGTGTGCGGAAGTGTCGGCTATGTTGGGTACTGCTATTTTGAAAGGGTTGAATGGAACAACTCCTCCAACGATGTGTTCACCTGTGCCGTAGTATTGGTTTGAAATGGGAAGCTCAAAAAAACGCAAATTTTGTAAGTAGAACCGATAAATACAACTCTTATTTGTACGTATTTCTATCAAACAGACCTAAGCGCTATAGGGTGAGGAAGGTAGAGGGGGGCTTGGATTGGCGGCGGAATTGGGCGTCCGGCTTATTCCGTCCTATACTCGCAATGCTTTTCCATGGCGCTTAGGTCCGTTTGACAGAACGCGCTATCCGGGATTCTAAATTCCTCAAAAGGAACTCAAATTGGTGCTTAGTTCCATTTGATAGAAATATGTCAATTTTTGCTCTAGCATAAGTTTGTAACAGGCCTTGTTATAACTTTATACAAAAGAAGTCTACCTTCCTTAGAAGTTTTAAGGTAAAACCTTTCGGCATAATAGATGCATAAGAGTCCAGGGTTGGAGTTTGGAAACTGACTCAGGGGCTGATTTTGTGTTAGAGGGCAAGTTACCACACATAGAGTAGGACAAAGCGGTGAAAAATGTGACCCAGTCTAGAGAGTTTTTCCTGATGTCCTTACGTTGTAAGACTTGTTTCGCTCCAAGTAAGAATTATACTACTCAAAGAAGTCCTATAGGAGAGTTGGAAACCTCTGAGTATCTGCCTTTGACTTTTTATGAAGTTCCGGATGGTTTTTGAAAGTGCTCCTTGTTTTGGCTACTCACAAAAAGCAGACGCAGACTGTTGAAGCAGAAGAAAAGCAGACTCCACTTGACCCAACAAAAATATCAATAGCCTGGCTTGAATCCTAAATTGAATTTGTCAAACTAATCGTTTCAGTCATTCCCTGAAAGTTTATACAATGATTTAAGAAAGGCTACGCATTGAATTGCATGTATGATTTATGAATCCTTTCTTTTGAACAACTAAGTGAAGTAACATTTTGTTTTCTTTTACAGGCTCATGACGTCAGCAATGATGAATCATTCTCAGAAATACTGCTTCCAAAGTTGCTGCCTGGTCAGTTTCTTAATCCTATTAATTTGAATTATTTTCTATCTCATGCTAATTTTAAGTCAGTCAGTCTCATATCAGATTGCCTCCCGATAAAGATTGCTCTTCTTTTGCACTGAATCAGTGAAAATATATTTGTGCAACAGTGTGAAACATGAAACATTGTTTAAAGTCAAGAATTTTCGGACTCAAGTTGGATGTCCCCCCACTTCATGAGATGAAGTCAGTCTGATGAAGCTTCAAGAAAAAATAGGGAAATCTATACATACCCTGTATTTCTACTACTTAGATTTATGACTACTAATGGGTTTAAAGGGGACGACAACCTTTAAAACAAGTTTGACTAAATTGACGAAGAAAAGTGTGCAATCAATGATGCCAAAATCCGTTGCGAATATCTGCATTTGTTGAGCCACTATCGCAAAAAAACAGCTGAGCTTGTGACGTCATGAGCTCCGTCTCACATTTTGCTGTCTGCACTCTGCATACTGTCTCCTGTGTCAAGTGGCGGACGCGTGTTCGCGACAAGTTATTAGTTCGCTCCAATCTTGCTTGTTCCTGGCCGACTCTTTTTTCTTTGCTCAGGTGTGACTATTAAGGCAACTTCGCGGCGCCAGACAGCAAACGCACCAAACTGTAGTCGCACCGGGAACGCATGCCGTCACCAGTCAGACATACAATCTTTCATATCTCTGCCGATTTTGCGAATTTTTCATTCGGGACAGAGGCATGTTGCTTCCTATACCTTCCTGCTTCAATTTTTAATACTATCTCATTTTCGATTTTAGGGTTGCCGTCCTCTTTAATTTGGGTTATTTTCAATATTTGGGCCTCAAGCAGTGGATATTTGCAAAAAGATGATGAGTATTATTATTCATTTACATCATTGCATTCATTTGTACAAGTGACCACTATCTTTGATGTGCATTAACATTTTTATTTTTTTCAGGCGAGATGGTTGTGGCAGAAGCTCATAGTGTATTACTTTTCACTCCTGTGAGTGATAAAAAAAATGGAAAGTTGGGCGTTCTTGTAGTTACTAACTTCAAACTATCATTCATCACAGCAGAAGAAGAACAAAATACTGTAAGTAATGTTTTTCCCCCCTATTTACAGTTCCGTCGTTAACTTACAAATCTAAATCAAAATTCCAAGAAAGAGAGATCCCATTAGGTAGTGAGTCATACAGAAAATACTCTATGTATCTTTTTTTCTTCCTTTTTAGTCGTGCGGTGAAGCTGTATAGACTATAGTTTAAAAAAAACATACCTATTGGTCTCTCTCCAAAAGACTGTGATGATGAAGTTTCTTGATCCTCTATCATCATTTTTTGACACGAGCGCACACAATCAAGAATACAAGATCATCTAAAAACTATTTCTCTAAGGAAATATTGCGTATGAAGTAATGGAGGAAAATTCTTGTTTGTAATGTGTACCCTTACAACTTACCTGTTTAAAACAATAGAACTTTTCACCTTTCAAAGCCATGCATTAATTAGGAAAATAACTGACTTTGTCTTTTTGTTTGTTCTAGTATTATATTTCCTATCAGAGAAATATGCTACTGGGTCCAAATGATGTCTCATTATCAAATGTTGACGTCTTATATCAGATCAGTAGCAAAAAGCGTAAGCTTACTCCTGGATCAAGTGTCTCCGATCAAGTGAAAGGAATTTTTGTATTGTGCAAAGTAAGTTCTATCTTATTCATGTCTTTCATTTTATAATCATTTCTGATTACGTACAAATTAACGATAAGTCATTCCATGAGAATAGGATTACTTATTGTTCATCGAATCTCACGAGGAGTGAGAAATGAGTGTTGTTTCCAGTACGACTGGCAAACTGAAAGTAAGAAGTCCAGAAGCTACTTTGTGGTGATGATTGGTCCAACTAGACTCAACAGTGTCTATAATTACCCTCCTGATTAGTCATTGTGTCAAACAGCATATCTTAATGAGCTCTTTCCCCCTGTATCAAGAGAACCTCAGTCTCATACCAAAAGACCGTGCTCTAAAAACTTATTGAGAAGGAAGAAAATTGTCTTATTAGGAAAGGACATTTTTCAAATTGCAATCTAGTCCTAGTTTGCTTGAATTTTTCCTTGTCTTGTTGCTCATTTTTCGTACCTCTAATTTTCAGGATATGCGAGCTTTGACTTTTAGTTTTAAACTCTCACCACCAGGGCACGGGAGAAAGCTTACTAATGCCTTATTACATCATGGCTTTCCAAAGCAACACCATCTTCTTTTTCCTTTTGAGTACACGTAAGTACACTGTCTAAACTTGAATGCTGTGAATAAAATATCACCACGGTATTCCAGTTTTTTTTTAATTTCTCGAGGAAAGGAGGTCTTTTGAGTCAATATTTTGTCAACATACTTATTTTTCTTTCTACAATCCTGTTATTTACAGTATTTGGGCCTTATTATTAGTTTTTCTCTTCTTATTGTTTGTCCTTGAGTTAACAAGGTTACTGGCAAGTGAGCGCACAATGAAACGGAGAATTTGTGGTCCTATTTTCCTCTTCAAAATCGGACAAAATCATTTTACCAGAATCAGTGTAACTACATCAGACAGTGCCCAATTGCCTCTTGTGTCTTGTTTTTCCACAAAAAACTAGGTGAGATTAAAACTTGAAATTTCATGAGTTTACTCTTGATAGTCAAGGAAATATTTGCAGAAAGATGAATGGTTGAATCCAATTTGTTGACAAAAAAAAATGAAGAATAACTTACTCGTCAACTGACCACTCAAGTATCAGTGTACAGAAGGCTATTAAAAGGTGCATTTTTAGCCATTAACGCTTTAATTATGAAGATGTTATTAAACTCTTATGAACTATTTACATTCGTTATTTTCATTGCTGCCGCATTTTAAGGTTAATGATGACTTGAGCTATAATTATATGCTACTAAGAAATCTGTCAAGGTAGTAATCACCTATTTGCAATATTTTTCAATGGTGTAAACATTTTCCTCATTTTCGGAAGTTGAATTATATTTCCTTCAGTTTAATTGCTTACAATTTTATTTACGTTGTATCACAGGGTACCATACTATCCAGGCAACCATCAAGTTACCATGTTTCGTACAGCTGTGGACTGGGAAAAAGAGTTAACACGAACTGCTAGTGTTGGATGGAGGATTTCTACTGTCAACCAGAATTTTAGATTATCGGAAAGGTATTCAATTTTTCTAACGATGCTAACCAGTTAATTGTTTTGCTAGTGTTAAGGAGGAAGTTTTGAGTTAACTATGAAAGTTACGTCAGGTCAGTAGCTTTACTCTGCAAAGTATTAAACGTTCCAGAATGGTCCGATAATTTTTCAGCTTCTCATCCCATGTTCTTAATTGTGCAGATATACCGAGGACAATAGCTACTGCCTGAACTATTCTTTAGGCTTGTTTTTGACTCTAGAAGGGAGGTATGCTTATCTAAGTTGACTTTTGCTCACACTGTTGAGAAGAAAATGGAGACATAGTGCAGGGAACTTTGTGTCCGAGCACCGGCAAGCTAACCATTCTGGGACGTTGAGGACTTGATCTGAATTTTGCATTGAAGGCGGTTGATGGTATCTTTCATCATTGTTCCCTGGAGCCTAATTCCATTTGAAAAAAAGATTCTAACTTTACTTTTTTTCACAAGTAATGTTTAGTTAGGACTGTTTGAAGTCTTTCTTTCCTTGAAAAGCACTACGGCCGAAAAGTGATTCTCTATTAAAGGAAGGCTAAGCGAACACACAAAAATCTAGGAAGGAACGAGGTTTTTCCTCTTTTCATTTCCTGATTAGAAATTCCAGGGCCATTTAAAGTGTGTTTGGTCCTTTCCCCTTAAAATCTTCTCTCCCTGCTGAATTTTTTCCTCTCGATGTATTAATGAACTTGTCATCTCTTTTCAGTTCGCCCCAGTGGCTAGTTGTTTGTTCGTCCATATTAGATAAACAGTTAAGGGAGGCTGCTCCTCATTTTAATGGAGGCAGGCTGCCGCAATGGTGCTGGAGCTCTCATTCTGGAGCTGCTCTTGTTAGAATGGCAGATGTCGTATCCGCCTGTGATAGAATAAAAGATCGAAAGAGCTTGCACTACAAAGTGAGGTGAGTTGATCACCACTTAGATAGTTTCTTTAGATCTCATAATTCTTTTTATTTTATAAAAGGCAATCAAATGTAAAATTAAAACTGAGCCAACAAATGGAGAAAAAGCTTCATCTTGTCAATTTTAATTGTAGAATAGAGAAATTATTTCATATTGTATCAGCGCAATGAAGGTAAGCAGTTAAGCCGGTCTCACTAATAATAGATGTATGTATAGTCTTTTGACAATGACTTTTTAAGAGCAATCTTCCCCAATTTATTGAGCAGTAATCTATTTTCTCAATCCCAAAATGATGTTTGCAAATCTTCCTCTTTTTTTCAATAAAATTGTCAATGAATTTCTTTGCTCCTCACTCATTTATTATGGTGCCTAATGTTTTACTCTGTGTAGTGGTCCATTCTGCTCACAAGGTTTTTTTTTTTTTTTTGTCTATCTAACCCTTGAATGATTTTTCAGAATGCAAGAAAATATTCTATTGGAAACAGTTCGGAAGAGTCATCCACGTTTAACGCAACCAGTTGTAATAGAGCTCACAAAAGACATGCCCTCCTTAAGGCATATTCAAGTCAGTTTTTGTAAACTTAGAGACCTGTGCGTAGCTGGTGAGTAATATTCCTTATAGCATGCAATGCAATGGTTTTATGTTGATTTATCATCAATCATATCTGCCACAGTCGCTTGATAATGATGTAGTCCATGCATTGATGAGTAAGCTTAGCCATGGCCAAAAAAAAAGTATATCGTCCTTAAAAATGTTTATGTATTAAGAATAAAATGTTCTTAAAACGAGGAAGGGAAGAGGTAGAAATGATGTTTTAATAGACCCCTGGACAAGGCATATAATTAAGCATTCTGATTTGTGTTATTTCTTCAAAATTCCATGTAAAATACAAATTGCACAACTAAACTTACTGACATTAACTCTCAACCAAGATATTAACGTTTTTATTTAGCAATAGTGACAAAAAATTTTAATTTTCCCTCTTACAAGAAAAATCAGAGTCAACTCGAATCACATTGCGCACTCCAACGATTTTGATGAGTTTCTTTATGGAGGAATGTTCCTTCCTCAACCTGTGTTTAAAGTCTAAATGATGTTAAACAACTGAGCTGGAGAGTTGAAATTGAGGTTGTCATGTTTTCAATCAGCTGAGCCTGTTACGATAACGTTTAGTGTGTGTTTTACTTCAAGTATATTATGGTTTTTTTTAGGAGCGGAAAGTTTGAAGTTATGACTCATGAAATGAATCTGAAATAAAAATGACAAAAGAAATGAATTTTTCGACAGAAACTAATTGATAATTTACTCTGAAAGCACATGATTTTCATGTGTTGATCTGAAAATGAAATTTGATGGCAATGTGTTTGTGGCGAAGAAACTTTATCAATATTTTTGAAAAATCGATTTATTTTTGTTCTTGACATGCTCAATAGGGGGGCCTTTTGCACAAAAAAATTATCAGCTAGTGTAAGCAAATGTCTCTGAAAATGTAGTTACATATGATTCTTTGTCTTATAACTGCAGCTATGAAGAATTCATGTGGGATTATTTGTAAAACTTTATGTCCGTTTGACAGACGCTTTACCCTTTATACCCTTTTGAAATACTTTAAACGGAAATAGAATGTTTTGTCTACCGTTGAGTTAGGTATTTTCCGTACCAAGTATGTCTGGCCAGCACAGTCAAAGAAATTTTTACCAAGATAGTTTCTGAAATTCTACTATTTTTTTTTTTTGATGACAAGGTCTTGAGAAATTTCTCAAAAAATTATTTTACAGAGAAGTAATTTTCCTTCCTTTTCTCATCTATTTTTTTTTTTTTTTCTTTTTTACAGATAATGAAAAACATTTTTGGGAACAGGATTCTCAGTTCTATTCATCATTGGAGAGTACCAGATGGTTACACTATGTAGGAAATTGTTTATTAAAGGCAGTTAACGCTGCATCAAATTTAGCCAAAGATATAACGGTTGTTCTTCAAGGTAAATCTTTTACATATTATCAATAATTTGTCTTTACGTTGAAGATCATATTATTTTTTCGTTAGCGTGGTAAAATATGTAAGCTGCCTTTAAAGTCTGGGTACTTGTTCTTTAACTCCAAACAAATATGACCAAGTAGATGATTTCGCTTCCCTCTGAAAAATCATCAGGTTCAATTTTTAGTTAAAATAAAGTTAGGTTCATTTGTTGAGTATTGGTTTATCAAAATTATGATGCTTTGAAATCGGAAAATTGGAACGTTTACACATTTCTCATATAGATTTTTCCCTTTGAATTTTGTCTCCAAGATTCCTTTTTCTAAACGCTTCTTGTTTTGAATAAATGCTATGACAAACAAATGGCTTTGGAACATTTGTCAAAATATCATTCAATTGCAGGCACTATTGCCGCAAGGATATTACAATTAACTAGGAAGAAAAGAGCTGTCCATCAATTCCTCACGGTTTTGTGTCATATCAAAGGACATCCAATGATTACAGCCATCATTAATGTATTTTGTATTATGCTATCATAGTCTTTCATCAGTCTTGTCAATGTTAGTGACAGGAGCGTATTAATTTTCTAATTGAAAAAAAGTATTTCTTGCAATTATCTCCAGTCTTTTTACTTTTTATTTTGCCCTTGATTTGTAATCTATTATTTCCATATTTTATTGCTTTCAGAGTCAGACGGCCGAGATATATCATGTGTGATAGCTAGTCTAACTCAAATTATCATGGATCCATACTTTCGAACTATTAATGGTTTCCAGTCACTCGTCCAAAAAGAATGGGTTTCCATGGGGCACCCTTTCTGCATAAGGCTTGGCCATATCTACAAATCTAATACTCAGCAAGTGAGTATCATCATTAATCAATAAAAAGTACAGAAAGTGCATGCTAATGGGGGTGGGACTTTGCCGAACTATTTTTACTACTTTTGTAGCAGGGGTTTACAGTGCCAGATTTATTCAGTTTTTTATTTAGAACTTCTATCTTGCAAGAGTAAGTTATATAATTTTTTGATTATTTCTTTACTTACTAAGGAGTCACTTTTCACCAATGGGAAATAATGCTGATCCAGAACTACTTTTGGCTACGGAATATGGCTGTAGATTCAAAATTGTGGTATTCTCTGAGTATCAAAAGCTGCTATATCTAGTGGCTTTCTTTACTCTCATTTCTAGAACCCTGAACAAGCAGGAAGCTCCAACGCATTCGCGTCGGAAAGCGGCTCTGGCGACGGTAGGTAGTTGTTACGCGTTTACGGTTTCCTTGGTAACCTTTGTTTGCTATCAGCTGATGTCGAGTAGTATGACTAGGAAGCTCCAACCACGGCATTCTTCGAAAAAAGCGCGAAAACTTATAGATTTGAATTTTCAAATTTTAAACGTAAAGTACATTTTTTCCAGTGCGAGATTAAAGCACAGACCCGTTTTAAATTATTGACAGTATCACGATGATTCCAAAAATACACTACACAACATAGCATTCGCTCACAGGAAAAAGATATCAATTAAAATAAAATCAGTCCCCCCTAAACAGCAGAAAATGGCGCCGATTCCCATCAACCAACACGCGGTCTCTCCAATGTAAACATGGTCCGTTGATACTCCCCAGCTGGGACCGTCCGGAATAGCAGCTCTAGTGCAAGCACCAGAGCCGCTAAAATGGAATCTTATATCTCAAACTGTATCAATGTGTGCTAAATTCATCCTTTGTACAGTTCCAAGGAGAAAAAATATCAAGAGAAACAGGAAAGATAGGAAAATTGAAAGGGAAATCACTGGTTTTTCCTCTGCTAGAACAATCCTGGCTGATAAGGGTCTTAATTATTTTTAAAATTAATACACGAGCTGATCTTTATCTGGCTAATCAGTTTTTGGCTCAGTACAGTTGTGGTGCTAAGTAATTATTTGAGTTCAGTGCAGTTACTTTAGTGCTTAATTATTTTGCAAGATTTTTTTCTTAATTTGTAAGCTTAGGGAAAACAGGGGAATACGCAGAAAGCACTATGTCACCGAGAGTTAAAAAAATGTTCTAAAGTTACCTACATTGAAAAACCCAGACTGTCATACTCTCCCTCTCTAGCCTAAGTATCTAGATCTTTGGAATCTTAGAATCAGTTTTTCCATCGGTTTAGCTCAAATATTTTGAACAAAGTATTGTTTTATTTCATTTTCTTTCTTTTTTTCAGTCACCTATCTGGTTGCTATTTTTGGATTGTGTTTGGCAACTTCTTCAGCAGTATCCATTAGAATTTGAATTCAACCAAATTTATCTCACAACCTTGTGGGATTCATCTTTAATTCCAATATTTGAAACATTTATCTTTGACTCTGAAAAAGAGCGAAGTGAAGCCTCTTCGGTAAGTTTGTGGGGAACAGCATCTTTCAACCATAGTTCTGAAGGGAGAATGTGCTCAATCGTCCAATCGTAGGAGAAAATTAAAGGCACCTAAAAACGGGGAAAAATGTGAAAGTGAAAGGTATTTTTGTATGGGACACTATTAAACACGCAATTTTTTAGAAGGGACTACTAGAGCAGTACTTTTGGTGGAGGAAACTGTGTAAGGCATTCTTTAATGCGAGGAAAATAATGAAGCATGCAGTTTTATGTGGACGGCAATGTGCAAGCAGCCTCAAAAAATGTGAAGTTATAGAACTTTCTACACCCCTGCCATAGTTTTTTTTTTAAATTTTTGCTGATTCTCTTATTTTTTGTCTCAAAAACTACAGCAACAACAACTTCATCCAAAAATGTCCTCAAGCCACATGTGAGCTAACAATAAGATCTGCAAGCTCAAGTATTTTTTGCACCGGTCTGGGAGCAACATCAGGATGCAGAAAACTGACATTTTTAACAAACTTCATTAAGTCTCACCTTTCTGTAATACATAATCATCCAGATATGACTGTTCAACTTACCCTTGTGTAGTAGACTGTACCGCAGATTATCCTCAAAATTTATATTTTTTACAGGTTTCACCAGTAATCTTGCGAAGTGTGTGGGATTTTGGAGAGCAACTTCCAGAAAGAGATATTGCATCATTCTCAAATCCTCTATATAGAGAATCACCAAAACATTTAGAAGTTAAATCAGGTGTGCCATGTTTGCACTTGTGGAGTCAATGCTATTTTCGATTTCTACCCATACTAGAAATAAAAGGAGGAGGTAAACCTCAGGTAAGTTATCGCCCACAAATTTTCCCATTTCTCTTATCAGCTGAATAGCCCTGTTATTTAATGCTGCTGGTGCGCCTGTAAAAAAAACCAAGAATATCTGCATTTTTTCAAAGAAGCAAAGAAATAATTGGTAAAATTGATTAGCAAGTGGCAAACTTACCATATTTTTTACTGCCGAGTCTCTATAAATTGTTCCTCTATCTGAAAGAATCTCCATGTAGAATGACCTCTCTTGTTTTCTTGCTCTCGCAGGGGTGGATTTCAAAGTTAGTTCAACTATTAAGTTTTTCAAGAACTATCAATGTTAGGAAAAAAACAAAACCAATATCAAAACACACATATCTTCAGCTTTCCAACAAGCTATAGTTTTTTAAATTTGATCCATATTTCGTAGAGAAATCATGCATTTTCCACACCCGCCACTTCTCTGAACATGCCCACTTTTAACTCTCTGCATGACTTCTCAGAACAATAAGTGATAGTCAAGGAAGAAGTAAATTTGAGTTATTATCTCATCGAGTAAAGTTAATTGACCCTTTTACTGCACTTTTGATAATCTAGAAAATCTATCTCTTCGTTGAAATAACTCAAGCCTTAAACTGCTTCTCTTTGTTATAATTCTTCCAGAGTATTACTGCGCTATCTAAATTCATGCCTTGAAAAAGACCATTCTATCGTTCATTCTTCATAATGAGAAATTTATAGGCACAGAGCAACTGACTAGGAGCGACTGGACTCTCTTTCTGAGACTTTCTCTCTTTATCTTAAAATTAATTTTGCCTCTGAAAACTGATCCTACTTCTTTTTTTTTCAATTTCGATGTGCTGTTAGGTTGACTTGGCAATCAGAGAATTATTATTACCACCTGGTAGCAGCGTGATGTCCGTTGAAAGCAAACAGCAGATTGGCTCCTTCTATCCTTTCACCCATTGGAACACCAGAAACTCAGTAAACCAGAACTCTCTTTTGCTAAGTACCCTGTCACTGAATACCACTGACGATTCTCAATCCATCATTAGTTTCTCATGTGACTAGTTCCAATTTGTTTTTTTTTTTTTATTATCATTTTTTCAAGCGGTAAGCTGTGAACGAACCAAAAAGTTAATTTGTGAAATTTGTTCCTAAGTACCTTCATTTTTATGATGCCAGTCAAGCTTTACATTAGATGCAGCTAAGAGTAAAAAAAAATGTATTTTTCTACCTTGCTTTGAAGTCATGCCTAAGCGTTTGACCTGCATTTTAGAGTAATTGGATGTGTGTACTACCCTCCGGGTCAATCATATAATTTCATCACAATTTGCGTGTATTACTGACAAGGAAGCTTGGCTTAAACTCGTGAAGAGGGCCTAGTTTTTTATTGATTTTTTATTATTTTTATTGACTAATATCTGATTTCATTGTTACAGAGATTTTACTAAGCCAAATTTATTTTCGTTGCCTTCCTTACTTGATCATGTAATTTTCAAAGACAGGAATTTTTCTCCATCATGTTGAGTTTCCTTGTATTCCAGTTTTTTCTGTTGTCCAAGGAAAGTCAATATTTAAAGGGATCGAATGAAGACTAACACTAATTGATAAAGTTTGACTCAGTAATTTTGTGAAAATGGCCCATTTCAGAGCTTTTTAAGCAAAAGTATTGATCTATTAAAATCATTTTTATATTTTCACACATTTGTTCAATTTTCTTAATGCCTCAAGACATAATATAATTTGAAGCATATAAATTGTTTATCTTGAACCCAAATTGGAAAAATGTACTTAACTCCTTCATTTACTATATCCCTGAATTTTCTTAATGTAGGATGTTCCAAGTTCCAAGTTAAAAAAAAATCTGAGAATAATTCTTGCAGCTAAGGTAAATGTTTCTTAAATTTTTAGAACATTAGCGCGACAATGAAGTTCACTTTCTCTGAAGAGGGCAGAATTTTAAGTACATTAACTTTTGTTGCATTAGGTCAAAAAATTAGATTTTGAAATTCAGCAAAACCCTCTCCAAAGAACCCTATAATTATTCGCAAAAGGTCACTTAATTTTCGTGCCAATGAAGGATGTAAAGTTGCGTAGAGTCCATGCCAAATAAATGTACGCACTTCTAGAGTGCGCTGAAAGATTCGCCATCTTGATTCTTGTATTTTACTGCTTTTGGAACTTTTGCTCTGCACCTTCAAGGGGCTTGACTGTGAAATTAATGTTCACTGAGATTTCAGTCTCATTTAAATTTTAAGTATCAACCCAAGAATTTTTTGACCGGAAACTTACAATATCCTACGTAGAAATTAAATCTGATTCACTAGACTGATTCAGATGTATTGTGTGAGTGATCATTGTCAATTTATCTCCATTTTTAGCATTGGAAGAGATGGTTTCCATTGTTTCAATTAAAATTTAGTCAAACGATACCTGGTACCTGGCTTAATGGAAAATTCCTGTAGTGATGTCACTATTGAATCAGTCAGTAGCTTCTTAATCTGATGTGTTGATTTTTATGATCCTTAACAAGAGTTTTTCTCTCATATTTGCCTTATCTAAACTGTACAATAATTAATTATATGAAATTTTTAATTAGTGGACGATTGTTTCTTCTTCAAATTGGTGAAAGAGGAACCTTGTTAAATTTTTATTTCACCAGTTTTTTAGGCACTCCAGCTCCAGCATAGGACATACTGCATTTGCCGTTATGCATGCGTAAAAGTTGTAACACAAAAAAATACCAAGGTATTTAACATACACGATGAGTGCATAAGTTGAGTTAACACTAAATTCGGCATAGATAATATACCAGGTTTGGAATGGGTCTAAAATGGGCTCAATTATTTTCACCATTGAACAATAGTCTCTGTAGAAAAATGGGGCTTTGTTAAGTTCATATATTCTCTCATTATCTTTGGCTTGTATTTATACTAACTTTAAAATATAAATAATAGCATTTCAACTGTAATAAATAACATTCCATAAAAATGCATGAAAACAAACAGACAGTAAGGCCCAGGAGGAAAGTCGTTTTGAAATTGTTTTATTCTTTTAATCGGTAAAGTTGCAAGCATTTTATTCAGTCATCATTTCTATAAATAAGTTTATTTTTAACCAGCATTTTTCATTTTTCTTCTTAACATTTATCATCTACTATCTTTAATCATCCCATTTAGAAACCTGGTTTTCTCTGATTTCATTATGAGTGGAATTCTCAGCAGAAAATCACTTCATAGGAATTTGTGAATATTGTGGCAAAAAATTTAAGCAAAATCCCCTCAAGCTGGGGTTCATTTCAGAGGAAAATACAATTCTTGTGTGAAGAAATTGAATTCAACGTCCTTTACCAATCATCCTCCAATTTCCATGAAGTTTATCCATATTTGCTGCTTAATTCAGGAAGAACAGTTCACTTTCTGAAATTAGGGCAGTTGTGGTAGCACCAAGAGGTGGTTTTCAAGGAAAATTTACAGTCGGATAAAGTCGTATTTAGACCCATAGAATATGCTTCTGTAGCAAAGCAATCTAACCCTAGGTTTTATGTGCATATCTTGTGATGCATCACGGTTAATCCTTGCAGCTATGTGTCCTTGTCTATCTTTGTTTAGTGCTCTTCTAGTTTTTAGAAAAAAGTATGACTGCTTAAAACACTCTACACTGGATTTTAATAAAGTTCTTTTTTTGGACAGGAAAAATATATTTGATTATCATCTACTAGAGCCAAACTTCTGTCAATTTAAACATTGTGTCAAGGATTTCAACAAAAAAAAAAAAGAACAAGGCAAGGGGAGTAAAATCATTCCTTGATAAAAATTTTTAGCTGAAAACTTTGGAAATAGGTCTACTCAGAATATGTAATCATAAACTGACAGCGTCAATTGAATGTAGTGTCTTCTAAACTCATCTGAAGTCTTTAATTACCATAGACCACTAAAACACATCTCAAAATCGAATTTGGCTTTCTTGCTTTTCCTGTTCAAATCTGTCTTGTAATGACCCTTTTTACGATTAATTCCAGCATTTTTCAACTGTGCCTTTCACTAATTGGTATTCTAAAGCAAGAAAAATATTAGTACATTAGATTTTTATGGTGAATAAATGTCTCCTCAAAACTATGAATGTAGATGTATGCAGTTTGCATGAAGACATGTACGTCATGTGCTGGACAAATCTGTATCAGGATATAAGTTTCCCGATACAGATATTAGGATCAGCGATACAAGCCTGTATTAAAGCCTAGGTAATTCTCATGATGTTCATAAGTATCTCAAAGAATTTTTAACTCTGTAATAAAAAATGATAAACATATTGATGGCTGAAGTAAAAATCTCCATTACAATATTTCTTCAAAGGGAACGGACCGAAATGTATTCTTGTAATTTTTAGGGAAATGATTTCAATGAGTGGGAAAAATTCACAAACAAATTTTAAGAGAAAATGTTAATCCGATTTCTTTCAAGTGGATGAAACTTGAGCAGAGATTCGCATTGTTGCACTGGAAGTTGCGCAATTTCTGACTTCAGCCATCAATATGTACATGCTGAGCTATTTCCTCCATTTTGCTTCCCTGTAGAAGGAGGACCTGGGAAAATTTCCAAGCAATTTGTATGTTGGTTCTCCTTTTAAGGTGATTCGACGGACGCCATTTTTTGTGTCAGAGTGACAGGCGATTTATAGCATCAATTCGTTCCATAATTTTAGCTACTTGTCATTTTTTTCGAATTTTGAGATTGCACATCTGTTGTCATGAGTCTAAAGAGTTCATGTACCAAATTTGACAAAGAAATTCAACGTAATAAAGGCGTGGTTTTTTTAGAAGAAAAATATCGCATTCGATACTGATATCGAAACTGCACTTGAATGCGATATTTTCTCTCTAAAAAAACCACGCCTATATTACGTTGAATTTATTAGTCAAAATTGGTGGGTGAATTCTTTAGTCTCCTGACGACAGAATTGCGATCTCAAAATTCGAGAAAAATGACGGGTAGCTGAAAAAATAGAACCAATCGATGCGATATATCGCATGTAGTTTTGACACAAAATATGGCGTCCATTGAATCACCTTAAAGAATCAGTTTTGGACAGAGGTACCAAAATTTTATGATGGGTTCAGCAGGTTTTGACAACAAAGGCTTCATATTTTCTTTCTTGTTTCTGTTTTTGTGTGTTGTTTTTACTTAGTCTTTAAATTTCTTTTAGTCCTTAACGTTCTTTCTAAGACAGAAGAGCTTCTGCAGGCTAAAAGACTGTTTCAATCTTTTTAATATTTATCATGTGTAATGTAAGATCTACTAATGTTATATTTTTTTATGATAAAATTCATCTTTTTGAAATGGTTGTTTTTTGTTAACTTAATCGTAGAGAAACGCAACATTCTACTTAAACAGAAACCCATAGTTAATGGGCAGAATGGAAAAATCTGGAAAAATCTATTGGAAGTTTTTTCACCCCTTCAAGATTGAAAGAGAAAACCTTTTGATGCGTTTGCGAATTCCTAAAATATTCCAACAATTTAATGGTCTAGACTTAAAACTGAACAGCATTCAGCAGATAAAAACCATGTCCACTAGTGGTGTTTTCAAAATCGTGCAAATTCTTCACCTTAAAGGAAAGTGAATGCATTACAATGATGAGACTTACAGAATTTTTTTTTACCTAAAATTAAGAATTTTTTAGTGAAAAAATGAAAACTATTCTAACTTTGGGGTTTTTTCCAGAAAAAGAAAGAGTTACATGATTTTAAAAACACTGTAATGGACTTGATTCTTTTCTGCCAAATGCTATCCAATTGATCTGCCGATGACTTAATAAGTCATTTTATACGTTAAAGTTGTTTTATCGAAGTGTGTCTTTGACAAACTAAAGACACATTCAGTCAGCTCGTTAAGCCACTTGACAGGTTTTAGCAATCAGCGCTTGCTACATGCAGCAATTCGAGAAAACAATTACATGTTTGTAAGCTGCTTGTCGAGTCGCCTGAATGCGCCTTTTACAGGTATGAGGTTTTTTTTAAAATTATGAGGACAAAAAAAGCAACATTTTTTGGAAAGAAACTAATTTTTTTAATTCATCTAGTATACCGATGTTAATAATATGATATCAAAAAAAAAAAAAAATTAAGAAGATGGTGGAAATATGCACTGAGAACGGATAACTTTTTAAAGGAAGAACAATTGAATTTGATATAATTGCAACAATAGGTAAGTAGTTATAAAAATGATTTGGTACAAAGGAACAATATAAATTCTAATTATTATCAATTTTTTTTTGGAGAGACAAAAGAAGAAAAAGCTAGACGGCTACATTATTGAACACTGTAATGAATTCAAAAAAATTGTAGGCATATTTAAAAGGCAATGCTAGGTAAGATATCTACCTTGAATATTTGAGTCTTCTCCTGAGAGGAGGTGTTACGATACATTTACAAGTAATGGTCATTTTATGACTTCAGTACCCAGACAGAGTCGTTTTTCCATAATTTATGGATATTACTAACTACATAGAAAAACCAATGTACGGATAACAACGGAAATTAAACTTCACGAAATTAATAACAAACATCTTCATTTACAAGAACACTTGGATATCTTTGGATAAAAATATTTGAATAAACAATATAATGAAATAATAAATTAGTACTACAATAAAAACCCCCAACAAAAAGAGGGAAAAGATAGAGATCTTGGGATTATAACTATGAACATTATTTTATGTTAAGTTCTGGTGTCACTTTACTTTAATTTAGTTCAGCTGCTTCTGGTCCCCTTATGGTACATTTTGTAGGAGCTCCAAAAACTTTAGAAGAAATTAGGATTAAAATAAGGAATTTAATGGCTTCTTCTTGGGTTGAGAGGTAAAAGAGAAAGTATCAACAATATATCTTGTCTGGGCATTCCTCCGCTCACCATCTGAGGAATCTCCTTCTTTATTGAGGTCCTTGGAAAAATTTTCCCCTGAAAAAATGACGGGTGAAAAAAAATTAAAAGTAGTTTCCACCAGGACTTACAACAAGCGATGAACCCGAAAACAAAGAAGAAGGATAATCGGACCAAATTTGAAACAGGGAAACCAAGTCACATCAAGATTGTTCTGAGAAAAAGAAGTTTTAAAGTTTCACTCAATTTGACAGAGAAAATGTGCAGCTGATTTAACTCAAAACTATTACCAACTTTTTTTTTTGGTAATAATTTTTTCCCGTCCCGAGTCAGTCAATTGAAATCTGTCTACTCCCAATAGTTTATGACTACTCCTTCCTTGGATGTTAGCCATCATTGATAAGATTATCATTGATGAAGCTGGAGTTTGATACTTCAGCCAAATTTTCACAGCCTTGAGAAACTTTGGGTGGGGGAAAAAAGATAGTGCCAAATTCTAAATCAACCAAAGTCATAAAAGGTAGTAACTTTGGAAAAGCAGTATTTTGAGTTGCAATTTATGAGGGTCATTCAGAAAGTAAGGTCTCCTCAGGTTTCTCATGCAAACTGTGAACGCTAGGAAAGAACCAATCACACTACTGGATTTCATATGTATTCAACGTAAATTAGAGCCCCAATTTATCAATATTATATCACAGAAACATTCAAAAGGGCAATTTATATTTTTACGCTACTAACATAGCTCTCACGGCTAGATTTAAATACCATGAAAGTGCTTAAAAAATATGAAAATTTTTTAAGTTCATGGATGAATGTCATGTTTGGTAAAAATTTATTTATGAAATTCTTGCAGATAAGATGCATCCTAGATTTCAGCCAGCAAAATCTCAGATGAATTGCATTTTATATGCAATCGATTATGGTAAGCCTTTCTGAACAAATAGAGCAATCTAGTGTCTTGCTTCTGCATCTACAATTTCCTTGAGAGGCAGATGTTTCATCAGAGAGTCTAGTAAAAAATTAGACACAAAACTAGTAAAATCAAATGCAACTTTTGCTTTACCTGAAATATCATCATCCATTTGAAGAGGAGACATGGGAGGAGAAACTGCTTGAAAACTATAGTTATTATCCAAAGCTGAGGTATCAAATTGATTTTCTAGGATTGATGCATCATCTGCATTTTCATTTGGCAAAATTTCTGGGAAAAAGAAAATCATAGCATTTGAGGCTTTAACAGGGGCAATCCAAGTAGCATTTTTCAACAGAAAAATCGCGATATATTGCAATTTAATCGGCTATTAAATCGCTAGGATCATCAACATCTGAGCAACTATCCTCAATCTTGTTGCAATGTAATCGCGATTTTATTGCCCGGCAATTTATCGCGATGTTATCGAAACAAAAATCGCAATATATGACGATTTAATCTCGATTTTATCGACGAAAATTGATCGCGATTTTAATGAACAAAAAATTGCGATGCATAGCGATTTAATCGCCATAAATCGCAATTTTTCATTTGATAATATCGCAATAAAGTGCCACCGATAAAATCGTTATTTATCGTGTTCACTGCGAAAAGATTATTTTGAAAATTGAATTTGCAGGAGGAGGCAACAAATTGATGACTGAGGACAAAAACTGCAAAACTCCATAGCAGTGTTTAAAAATCTTCGATCATGTTTTACTTTTTCATAGGAAAAACAACCCCAAATTATTTCCCTGAAAAACTCTACACACAATTGCTTTTTAATGAAAAATAACTGTCTCTTCCTACCAGATAATCCCTAATAAATCTATGTTCAAATCTCAGAAAAAATCGATTCTCTCTTAACTCGATTTTTTTTTGCACTGTTTCCTTTATACAGGGTGTCCCAAAAGTCCCTTCCACCCCCTCTAAAATTTTACCTAATTAATATTTTGAAACGAAACTTTGGGGATGTTCATCGATCACTGTTAGCTACTTTTGGGGCCCCCCTACGTTGGCAAGTCCTCAAATTTCGGGAAAAGTTTAAAAAAAAACGAAATTTAAGGTGATTAAATTTGACCGTTTAAATTTTTTTTTTTTTTTTAACTTTTCCCGAAAGAGGACTTGCCAACGTAATGTTGAACTGATTTTGCCCTACTGAACTAATGTGGAGGCAAATCTAGGGAAAATTGGCTTATTTCGCGGGAAAATTGGATGACCTTTTAATTGGCGTATTTGGGGGTCCGAAACCCCCCTTAAAATTAGTTCGAAGTAATTTCTGTTATTTTTACTTAAAAGTACTTACAATTTGGTAAATTTTCCCGTTTCATTTTTTTCATTACGATAATTTGAACCGGAGTTATGATTTTTTGAAAATAGGTCAAATTTGACCTTTGACCTATCATAACTCGGTCAAAAATTAAGATATTGATCGGCGGTTTACGCCAAAATTCTTAGTTTTTTATGCTCTTTCGAATGAGGTATCACAAGATAGGAGTTGCCATTTGAAAAAAAAAAGTTGGGGTCCGCAGCCCCTCCCCACGGGGGGGTCCGAAAATTTTGGGGGGCCCCAAAAGTAGCTAACATTGATCGATGAACATCCCCAAAGTTTCGTTTCAAAATATTAATTAGGTAAAATTTTAGAGGGGATAGAAGGGACTTTTGGGACACCCTGTATGTGACTCATCTCAGTGTTTATCACGCACCTGTAATCAACTTTTAAAATGACTCTTCTTTCGCACTATTAAGTTAAATTCATGTGTATTGTCCTCCTTCGTGCGCCCCCATTACATTGAGTAAAATTTAAATTGCCTGCTCTGTTATCTCCTCTTACTCTTCATGTTGAAACCCCTTATCACCACTGCATAGGAGCCAGTAGCTCCTTTGTTGTAAGTCTACCCTCCTCGGTGATGGTGACGGAGGAGATGCCTCCAGCATCTAACCTTCCAAGGCACAAGGTTTATCCGCTGTAAATGGACAAAGATTGTATTCACGCTATCACAGAGGGGGTCGATTAGCCTCACCTGAGGTTAGATTGCAACCTCCTTCAAACCAACAACAGCATTCAGAGATTTGAATTTACCCCAAAAGAGGCAACATTGTTATTTAACATTAAGGATAATAAACATGATTGATTACCTCCATCATCACTTTGAAAAGTTCGATTTGGTGTTGGACTTTTTTCAATTATGCCTCCAGGTGGCGTATTTTCTTTATCCGACGTACGATTAAAATACTTGGATACCGTTCCATCAATCTGCAAAATAAAGGCAAAAATTTTACTGTCAAATGAATGGACTGAAACAGTGAAAATGCTCTTTCTTGATTCTCTGATGAGTACAAATCCAGAAAATATACGGTAGAAAAATATACGGTAAAAAAAGAAATATAGTAATACGGTAGAAAGTTTGATTTATTTACATGTTAGTGCATGCATGGAGGGTTGTAAGCTTGTTTATATATAAATCCTTCTGAATATTATATAGGTTGCAAAAATTTTGAAATCTTGTTAATCATGGTGCATGATACCAATTTTAAACTCGGCGAAATCATAGACTTTCATGGATTTCATCAATGACCTCTGAACATTTTTTTTGAGGACTCTTGAAGAAAATTTCAGCGCAAGAATGATTAAAAATAATAATTATTCTCTACCACTCATGAATGACCGTCAAAATTGATAGAAGTAAAATATTAAGTTAAAATTAATAGGGTTAGTACTTGTAAACATTTTGTAGTTCTCTATGTTCTTAATGAATAATAATAATAATGAAAAAAGAAGTTTTATTCTAGGGAAAAATGACTGTAAAGTGGTAGCTCGGAGCTTCAATCTTATGGAGAGGACTTGTACAGTGCAGACTGACTAATGCCAGGTAGGTAAGTCCAGCCTTCGCACTGTTGCCTCCGAGGGACAAATAGGATATTAAAGTGGCAAGTGTGCCACCACAATGACTGATTTTCAAGTGTCTCGAAAACCTGTCACCACCAGAGATCGAACTTCTTCAGAAAATCGAACCGATTTTACTTTTTCCAGAAAAGTAGTAGACGTAAATTCTTGAAAACTTCCTTGATTTTTCTCCTCTAACAGCAAAATATTCTGTATAAATTTTAAGTTATGAACTGGGCTTGTCTTTCTTCAGAAAAAATACAATAGAGGTGGAAATTTTTTACCACTTTAATTTTTTTTTTTTTTTTCATTTATTTGCACAAATACATAAACATTGTACAGAGAAGAGCTTTTAGACTTTTTCGTCTTTAAAAGCGGTTTTAACTTTAGCCTTAATAATAGCTACATATTTATTTTAAACAAAAGTGCCGACCTAAACTGAACAGGTGGAGAGATGAAATATAGAGCCCGATTATTTCAAACACTTTAATAAGGATGCAAGGTTTTGCCATGGTCAGGGATTGGGCATTTTGGTGATGCAAAGGAAATTTGAGACTTTGTCTTTGATCATTAAAACTGGAGAATCCAGTTAAAGTCTTACCCTTTCTTCATTCATAGGACCTGATGGTAGGGAATTGTCGACTCTGTATTCGTCAAAGTTTTCATCTCTACGTCCTGGCTCTACTGGGGTCGAAGATCGGAGCGATGTATTCTCCTCTCTGTTGACCATGGTTGCACCTCCAACTGTGAAGGTTTTATTGAGTGATCCATGGAGGCTGCTGCTGTAATCTGTAAGTGAGATTTGAGTTCATTATCTGACAGCTCATCATATCTGAAAACTACTTGATTTTCTTGAGAAGTGACTAAAAAATTGTCAGTGTATTGAAATTGAAGAAAAATTATGATAAATTAATACTTGGAATTAAGAGAGAAGATCATAGGCGGTTCCAGACCTTCATGCTTAGGGGTGCCCAAAGGTGGAAAATGTCGGAGACCGCCCCCGAAGAGGACGGTCGCTCAGGGGAGGCCTAAGTTTCGGCCCTCAAGTGTTATTCCTTTTCTACGCTCTTTGATGCCTCCTTTCTCTTTTTCTCTCCTTCCTTTCTACTTAAATACCTATAAATTCAATGTAGAAAATTTTTAGCAAAACTTTCCATCAAAACTACAATCTTACCATTAAAAAACAGTGGAATCTTTGTAAAACACGGCTATCAATACTAATTCTGGACACCTGCAGATTTCAAAAATTAATGAAATAAAAATATTGCCAATTTTTTGCGCTTCATAAGACGATTTTTTTCTCGACGGTTTTACTTGCCCAAAAGCCTCTTTCACGGTTCCGGTAACCGTATATACTTAATTTTTGCTTGGGGGTGCCCGGCACCCACTGGCACCCCCGTAGAACCGCCTATGGAGAAGATGACTAGAAGCCAAAATACTTGATAACTGAAAGATTCAATGCATACTAATAACTTGTGATCCATCCTAAAATCCATCCACCTGCTTAAGTAGCAATATGCAATAAAATATAATCAAATAAAATTTCAATTCAATGCAATAAAAAATTTTCATTTGATAAGTAATATTGCTTTGCAAATTTGGCAAGTATGTGGCTGAATATTGTTGGGTAATATTTGCCAGAGAATATTTACAGTGACATTCAAGCTATAGAGGAAAATTAACTCGGTATCAGTGTAGGTATTCACTACATTCAACAAATATTGCTAAAAAATGTTGCTGATTTTGCAGTATCTCAATCTAGTGAAAACGCACCTAACTCCAAGAAATATTATCTGGCAGGGTGTTGCTGACAAAATTGCAGCTCGCTCTCTTGTTAGGCAGTTATTTCTAGTAAAAGTTTGAGCATGGATAGCTGCACTGACTTATAGGTCCTACCTGCAGTTCTTCTCAGCATGTAAGATCATTTTTGGAAAAAAGTTGGGTTCTTAATAGCGCTATTTCTAGAATGCTTTTTGTTCATAACTCGTGGAAAAAAAAAGAAAAAAGAAATTTGAAAATAATAACTAGGAGAAAGTGATTTACCAATTTCTGTCTCATTTTCATGGGTTCCATCCATTTCCTCACATCTGCTAATTATCTGATGTTCTTGATTAGACTGTTCTCTTGATCGATGAAAATTGTGTGGAATAGTTGATACTTCTTGAGGAATGTTCCATTCTTGTTGCTTTGCACTGCTGGGGAAAATGTCCTTTTTCGGAAATTTTTGTGGAGTTTCTTTGTTTTTAAAACTCTTGCTGTCAAATTTCCTCTTGGATGAGTCAGAAGTGGCAGAATGCAAGGAAGGAACCACCTGTCTCTGAATGGTAGTGGGTAATTTTTTTAAAGCAGTTGATGCATGGGAACGAGATACGTTTTTGGTTCTATCTGAAGAGGTGAGTTCTTTCACACGGTTCATGGGACTGTTAGAAATTGGGATTCTTGAGTTTCTAGGCGACATAATTTCACTAGGTTTGGCAATTTTCGGAGTATGGATTTCCAGTCTTGACACTCTTTCCTGCCTCATATTGATGAGGGATGGGCTTACTCCTTTAAACTTTGCCCCATCAAATACTGGAATTCTTGATGCAACATTTCTGGAATTGTGAGGTGTATTACTCTGAACAAATTCATTCGTATTATTATCTGCAGATTCTTGCAAATTACTTTGGTTGACAGAGAAACTAAAATGTCGATAGTTATCAGCCTCTCGCTTTTTTTGCCATTCTTTCAATTTCATATCAATGCCTGAGGGTGAGAAGTCTAAGGATATATCTTGCAGCCTACCAAACCTGCTGTGAGGTGCTGATAAGTCCCGTGTGCCTTTCTTATAGGGCAATACTTGGACAGTGCTGACTGCTTTTTGTGCTTTCGAGGTGGCTTCACGTTTTTCTTTCGGATGATCTGCTCTCTTCATCAAATCATTTAGTTTTTTATGAAGCTGCTCATTTCTTTTTACTTCCGATTCCTTGTTGGCCCAGGCTTGAGCAAGTTTGATGCATTGCACTTGCCACCGCCGTTCATTTATTTCAACAAACTGTTTAGTGCTATTGGATGTTTCCTCAAGTTCTTTTTTTTTCATTCGCAATTCTATCTCTTGCTTTTTTACTTCTGTCTCTAATTGTAGCTTTCTCTTAACTGAAGGTATATTATGAAACTGGGCTAAATTTTTCTCCCACATTGCTTCATAGAAGGAGATTGTTGCATCTTGCTGTTTCTTATCCTCATGGTTTTTAATTTGCTGCAATTCAAGTTGTTTCAAGAGGTCATTTTTTTCTTTAGACAAAGAATTTTTCGACTCTTTGAGAAGGGAAACTGAACCAGCCAAGGATTGAAAAACCTTGTCTTCAGACTCAATGCTTGATTTTAATTCAGCATTTGTGGCCAAAGCATCACTAATTTGGGAATTGGTCTGCTTTAATTCTTCTAACAGACGCTGTTTTTGTGCTTCGAGCTCATTTTTGTCAAATTCCAAAGAGGCATCAGCTAAAACAATGGTTTTCCAGATTTTTGTCGAAGGATCCATGTTGGAAACGGTAAGTATCCTATAACAGAAAAATTGAAATGAATGATAGATGAAACATAGCAATGATACAGCAGGGATTTTAATCACTTATTCATTTTTAAATTTATTTTTACATTTGAGTCAAGAGCCATGTGCATGGCTATAATACAGGTCACGGCCACACATTAAGGTTTACGTACAGACCGTGGGTAACCCTGCAGGATGGAAAGATGGATAAAGCCATCAAGGAGAAAGAACCTTAGTGAGAAAGGCTACATTGATAGTGAATGAAATCCCTTGGAATGATCCAAACAAATAATACAGTAATAATATAATATAAATAAATAATAATAAGGAGAACAAAAGGAAAATTCATAGTGCCACGATGAAAAGTATTGAAACATATGTTTGTGAAATTTTAGCACCTGCAGAAACAAGCAAGACCAATCTACACAGGTCAGTCATTCCCGAGGACGAGTTTTGGTATACTCTACTGCGCAGTGACGTGGTATTGAGTGCCTGCAATGTCTTTCTTATGGGAGCACCCATTGTGACGTAGCATTGAGTGCCGCTGAGTTAGGCCGGGCGGAGAAGTGGCTTTCAAAGAGGTGCGCATAATGACTGACCTGTGTGGATTGGTCTTGCAAACGAGCACAGGACTGCACTGACATGTTGCTGACAGCACAGAAGATGGATTTCTGGAGGAGTTTAGCAGAAATTCCTAGAAGGGGTTGGATACATAATGACATATAGTGTGTCAGACCATAGAGGTTTAAATACAGCTGGTCGAGTATGGTTAAGTGAGCAGGATGTTAAAAAAAGTTGACGAACTGATGATTAATTGAGCTTCTCGTGGGAGAGGACAAAGGGGATGACCTGTGAACAGCCGCTAGCACAGGGTTGAACAAAAAATGAGGGAGTGCCTTCTTTCAGAAGAGCTTTGCGAGAATAAGGGTCTGTGACAGTTGTACACTGCAGAGAGCTGAATCAGTGACTCTGATGCAGGTATAAAATACTTAGTAACCATATTCCACACCTATGTACCAAAATTCAAGCCAAAATTATGATGCTAGCCATGGCAAATCAATTTTCTGTATCTCCTGTAAAGTTGACATTTTGGCTCTTGGGATACTCATGCTAGAGGGAAACGATTTAAAATTTTGTTTCTTCACCGCGCGATTTGAATTTAAATGTTGGTTCTGTAATTAGGTGGATCCCCGATCCAGATAAGATTGACTTCATCATTTGCTTGTGCAGATACTGTGACTGTCATGTGTGAAAGCAGGCTGGCGATCTAAACTAGTTTAAGTAACGTTTAGAACATCTTTTCCTGCGGTAAGGAAAGTTAAGTCTCAGATCCGAGCAAGCAGACAAAGAGTCAATTTATCAAAGAAAATAGAATGAGGTAAGAAGTGGATGAGATTAGCTAGCTTTCGTGACTTTTCTGAAAATAATGGAAAATCAACGGATTCAAAGCATACTTACTTTGATTATTGTCTTGTGCCTCCGGAAAAATGAATTACACACTTACTATGGTATGGAGTGTGATCAATTGATCATGCTGGCGCAATTTCGAATTGTTGTTGTTGTTGTTGTTATCAAAATCAAAACAACCTCCGTCCACTATAAACCGGATATGAGGAGTGGGGTTCACACTCGATAATCAAGGACCATTCCGTCCATTTCCGTTTCCGGTAAATTATGATCCGCCCGTTTCCGCATCCGCCTACAACATGTGATTTCCATAGTTCCATTCGCGCTGAGATGAACAAAGATTATAATGGAATTTCTACTTATTTCGGGTGGAAAACACATTGGTTCACACACACATTTTGGGATCAAATGCATTCTTAATTCAACTACAAGTATTCTTGATAAGATTAGTGCATAAATTGGAAAAATTGATATGACCAAAAAACAAAGTTATGATCCTGTCAACATAGCGACTTACCAATCATGACAGTGACGTCCTGACATTTTTAAAAGAAAAGGCTGAAAATGAAGCTTCACACATTGACTCACACAACTTTATTTTTTAGAATTCGTTAAAAACATTTATTTTCCATAGTAACAGGTAGAATATGAGATTTTGTATCGTACGATTCACAAATAAAGTGTTCATTACTGAAATTGGACACTTATAATGCACCTTGTCCTTCAAGCATCGATCTATTACCTACTTCAAGCCCCTCATCTAAAATATGAGATTTTACAGACTGAAAATGTCCAGTTGATTACTTGCCGTTCGCTCCTATATTTGATCAAAAGAATAAATTTCGGCAACAGATTAGTAATCATCATGGATTCTCCAACAATATTTTCCAAAAGGGGCTTCTGGTGTATACAAAAATTCCAATATTGAACTAAAATTTTTATTTTTGAGACCTCGTCAACACGAGGGCAGTTCAGGCGAATTTAGTTCTGAAAACTAGGGGTTCGCGGAAAAAGTGATTTTAATTAGGTAAGTTATAGGTACCTATATTGAGTACCTGGAGCAAATTTGCCCGTAGTTCCGCGAACCATGCTTATGTGGGAAAGGCAGAAGCGAGAAAAGTCATCAGAAGGTTGGCATTGATATTGAGGCAGTAAATATTTATCTCTCTAGATGGAGCCAGGAGTTTCGAAAATGTCATCAAATTGTTTGTAGTTTCCTGCAGTCTCTTTGAACTAACTGTTACTGATAGGTTGGATTTTTTTTTAGGAAAAACTTAATTTTTTAATTCTTTATTTTTTCTTGTTATAATGAAATACCCCCTCTTTTTCTTCACATTTTTTACTATTCATTCAGCTATTTAGGATGAGATTCCTGTAATACTATTTCAAGTTTCGTCAAACAAAGTCTTCAGAGAGCTCTTGAGAGGAGCAAGTTATAGATGGTGATATCGCTGAGTTTAGAGGGGTAAAAATATTGTGTGGAAAATTTAATTGAGATTTAGTAGGCGTAGGTCTGTTGCAACCAAAAGATACAACTGATTGAATGCACAATCTATGGGAAAATTTGCTCAAAAATCACATTGCGCACAACAATAAAGTCTGAAATTACTCTTTGGCTGGCAATATGCGTAATTTGTAACACGCTTTTTCAAATTTACCGCATATGCCGGCAGTTTTTCTTGGTAGGGGGCAATCAGGTTTGCCCAAAGAGAGACCTAACCTGAATAAACAAACAATCTTGCAAACTCTGTTATAAACTCTCCTTGCGTAAGATTTCACTTGATTCAAAGCTTTTGTTTTTGTAAAATAAAGAAAGAAAAATGAGAAAAACGCTTGAAAACGATTGAAATCATACGATAGAAAAAGATGGTGAAATCGTTTGTTTACTTAGATTAGTTTTTCTTACTCCTGTCTGTGGAAACCTGGTCTGCAGTAACTGAGAAAAACTGCCTGCAGATGCGGGAAACTTGAAAAAGCGTTTTAGAAACCACGCAGATTGCACACTACGGAATGGATTTCAGATTTTTTTGATATGCCCCACATGATTTTCGGGCGATGTTACCCGTTAAAGGTGTATCTAATTGGCTGTATCTCTAGCGTGCAACAGACCTATTTTGACAAACCACAGAATGATTAAAACGATTTTTATGAAAGTATGTTTCATTATATTTAGAATTAAATAGGTACATAAAGTTAACAATAAATAATCAAAAGTTTCAATAGATGATGCAGACACCATCAAAAATAAACAACAGAAGCAAATTAATTCAATATGAAAAAAGAAGACAAAAAATGAAGAAATACATAATAATTATTCTCAACATAAATTATTTGATTAGCAAAAATATTCCTACAATGTAATTTCCTTCTTGATAGGTCATTAAAGGATTTACTTTCATATATTAACAAGCATTTAAAAAGCTGTGAGAGATAAAAACGATGTTGCTTGGTTTTTATCCATAAAGTCCCAAAGAAACGCAGGAAGATTCATTAAAAAAAATAATTGGTAAAACTTGATATCACAGCAAACTTTTTCTGTTTTAAATAATGAATTCTTGACTACTTTTAGAGAAGCAGAAAAAAGAAGAATACAAATATTCCTCATTCCTGTGCAGCGATCATTTAGTTTTTGGGCTCATGGATAGAAAATTTGTGGACAAAATCAACAATTTGTCGGTGCAGAAATTTAAAAAAAATAGACTTCAATGTACTTTATGATGTGATTTGATTCATTAAGTGAATTAAGTCAGTGTTTGCATACTGTCTGACCATAGAAGCATCAAGGAGACAAGTATACGGTTACTCAGTTTCAAAAAGTGTATGCAACTTTCTATGAATTCGAAAATTCAGAAGAGATCCACTGGAACAATAAGTTGGCGAACATCAAAACTTGGAAAAACAAAATGATTGGTTGACAAATGCACAATACAGATCAGGGCCCTAAATTGATAGACAGTCACAAGACCACCTCAATAACTCAAATTGACCATATTTACTCACTCCACTTCCTTCCGCATTTAGCAGAGATTATACTTTTAATGAATCCCAATTACAACGGCGAATACTGCTGTACAGGTTAAATTATAGATAAACAGGTCATTCCGTCCCCAAATAGTCTCCCATGATAATTACGAGTTAGAAAGTGCTAAACTTCTATTATTTTGAGTCTAGATTAAATTCATTGCTTTGGAATATGGCAACATTGATACTTGGAAGGACAACAATGGAACAACAAGACAACATTGGAAGGAGAAAGGAGGATGGAAGAGAGCAGGAAATGACTCATTTTAGATATTGAGGTAGTCATGTACCTTATTAATTATAAGGATCACAAGTTAAGGCAATTTGTACAATTTAATTTGTGCAATTTAATGCATATTTTTTTGACTTTACCTGACTTTGCATAATTATAAGCCCAAATTCTCTGACTTTTTGTGACTTTACCAAAATTCTCTGACAATTTAGAAAAGAAAAAAGAAAAAATGTTAAAAAATTATCAAAACCAGACAGTAATTCTATAAATTACCTTTGCAAAATTTTCAATAAAAAAATTACTCAACCACCAATAAAATTCCCTGTCTTTCCCGGTTTTTTAAAGTTCACTAATAACTTATCCCTCTTTATGGAAACCTTCGTAATCCTAGACTTAGTTCAATAAATCTTTGATTAGTTACAGAAAGTTGCATACAATTTTTTATGGAGCAAAATCATACACTTGTTGCCTTAATGCAGCTGGGATTGATTGTGAGAAGTAATTTTCTAGCATTTGTTCACTAATTTTGATACTTGGCAGATTTGTAGTCATTAAGCTTTGGTGTCTTTAAATCATCAGGATAGGAATATAATTTTCTGGGAAGGGTTTTTTTTTGTTTTTCTTTTTTTTGTTTTGATTTGTTTTATAACCATGGTACAGAGGTATTACAGGAGGCTTTTGTGTCCATTGACATCTCTAAACTAGCGGCGAGCTTCTACTCTGTCAGAAAACCCCATTGAATTTGAAAAAACCAGAAAAAAATGGCCACTTCGGTTTTCAGACCTATGTTCAGGAACGGTCTATATAACTTTAGGTGCTCTAGCCACAAGGGAGGGGGATATCGAAGACTGCCTCTGGGGAGGGACCTGACATGGGGGGTGAGAGGGACCACAGAATTGAAAATAGGTCAATTTTGACCTTCATTGGGCATCCTTCCTTTAAATTGAGTGAAATTTTAACTGGTACAAAAAAAAGAAAAATTAAAGTTGAGAAATTCGGTTGGCCTTTTTTTTCAATTGATTTAACAACAAAGGCAGTTGTTTGACCCATGTAAATGAATTATATCAATGACCTTAGAGTGAGCTCTTTGAACCTTTTGAAAGTTTGCTTTTACTATTTTGGAGACATCTGAAGCAATGATTTTAAACAAAATAAATAAAACCTGGAAGGTATTTACAGGTACAATTTTTACAAGGAATCTATAATTTCACTAAGAGAAAAAATAGGTAGGACTAAACTATTCATAGTGTAACAGACATAATTTAGCCACTGAAAAAAGAAGCATTGGTCATTAACACTACATCGACAGTTTTTGAAACAATAAATGTACAGCCAGCAGATTCTAAACAACAAATAATAGAATAAATACTGACAAAACTTTTGGCTATCATAGTTTTCAAAGCAAACACAATATAAATACTGCACTATGTATAATTTATATGTTATGAGCTTCTTCACGTTTATAAAGGCACAGCCTAAAGGTGAAATAATTTCTTAAACTTGATTGAAAATGCAAGTGAAACACAAAAAAATTGGATGAGGGAATTATTTAATAAATTAAACAATGATGCTTAAATTTAATTAAAAATAAAAAAAGAAAAACTATTAGATAAAAAAGAGCCACAATTCTTTGCAATTATCTGTTACAAAAAAATCTGTTAACGCATGATTTAGAATTAAAGTAGTTTATGAGGGTCCTATGTACAATATTATATTAAATAATACTACTTTGCAGTTAATTGTAGAAAATATTACCAGATACACCTCCTTACAACTGGGTATGAAACTTACTGATGCAATGGCTACTTCTATAAGTAATTGTTCATTGTGAAAGTATTAAGAAGAAAGTTGAAATAACGGTTAATTCAAGATGATAACTGCTCAAAATCAATATTATCTGATGAAGTTTACATTAATATGTTAGAGCACCATTACCATGTCTTTCTTTCTAACTCTCTGCTTCTTCTGATATGATTATTACAGGTAAACATTCATACTTATTACATACAAGTTTATGAACTTGGAAAAACTGTGTAGCTGGCTGAGTTGAAAGTGCTGTTGAGAGAGAGGGGCGCACACACAATTCACCACATATTGAAAAAAATATGTTTGATTATTTTGAATTGTGTCCCAAAGTAAATTTGTTTTTGGAGAGGAAAATTGGTGCGCTAGTAACCAAATAAAGTTTCTGAAAGTTCCTCCTCATTGGGAATAAAAGATATGTACACGTAGTGTCCCAGACCACCCGTACCAGATTCTTCTCACGGTTATTTAAGGTTCAACAAAGTTGAGGTCCGCTTCGTTGAGCAGGCAATTGACCCCAAGGAATCTGAATTTCATCAACCAAATTCCTGGAAGTCAATTGTAAATAAAAACACCTTTTCCCCAGGCCTCTACATCAATTTAGCAACAGAGCATTCAATTATTGAGAACTCTGTTCCTTTACTTAAAAAGTCAGCATTTTGGACAGGAATGAATCAATTTTGGACTTTCTGGTATTTACTCGGGTCAAATTTTCTGTAGTTTCTGATTTTGATCAAATTGTTTAAAAATCTACCATTTTGGTAAAAGAAAAGTTACGTTCTGAATATTTGCATCTTAAAGAGACTGTTATTAATTTGCTGTATCACAAACAAAAAATAAAACAAAAAGACTCGTTCCAAAACAACTTATTACAAGCTCCACATTCAATCAGCTCAAAGAGTTTTATTACTTTAAGCTTCAAAACAATGATGGCAATACAAATTTTGTATTCTTCATACTTCTTGATATTTTATGTAAAAGAACATAAAAGACAAAAATCAAGTTCTGTTGACTCAAAACAAAAGTAAATTATTGGCAGTGAAGAAAAAATAAAATTGAAATATTAAATATTGATAAAATGTCTAGATTGCACATGGATTTTTTGAAGTTTTCATCAACTCCTTCGAAAGTAGTTGGCACGTGTTGGCAACGATGACACTATTTTTTCGTTGTTGGTTGGTCGTTTAGTTGAGTCTCGATAAAATTCTTTAAACCTGGAATTTAAAGGCAAGCATTCCTTTCATGCTAACGGGAAGTTTAGCTGTACTATTATTCACTTGAAAGTTTCACTTCTAATACCACTATTTAGTAAAATTTATGTCCTTCAGTGCTAAAAATGCTGCAACATGGTAAGAGACAAAATTTTGGAACGCAAATACTTAGAAAATATATAATGGAGACAAGCAGAGAAGGAAAAAAGGGAACGCCATAATTTACCAATGACAGAGCTCTGTCGATCAACTTCTTTCCAGTTGTTCAAAACTGACCTTAAATTAGCAGGTGTATGATTGATATCTTCAAGCACAGAGGTGGAGTGTTTTATACTTATTTAGTTGAAACTAGTTCCCATCTACCTCTCAAAAATGCAGGTAAAGTGAATAAAGTGATACAAAATTAGTGAAAATAATTCAAATCTTACTCTAGAACAGGGGAACATTAAAAAAAAAAAATTATTCTGCAGAATATACAATGGGATGAAAAATAAGATACTTACACAATGGGAAAAAATGGTGACATACGCATCATCAATTAGGCAAAGCCATTGAGAAAAAAAATAAATAAATATTAAAAAAACTAAAGATTACTATAGAATTTAGCATGCATGAAACAGAAATTAAATTTGCTTCAACTTTTGAGAAAAAAGGGAGTGGGGTTAACATTTATGATAAGCAAATTCACTTACTGAGTTTTCATTCCTATGAGGAATATATGATACTAAGCTACATTGCTTACAAATCTGCTTCTTTCAACCTTTAAACTGAAACTGTAGGTTTCCATACAGAAAGTAGGCAGGACTAGTATGATATTATGCCAAAATGGTACCATATCTCTATTTTGAGATCTTACAAATTTAAACAGGCATGTTTGTATTTGATTTGTTCTTTTAAGAATCCACTTTTACAAAATTTTCAGGTTTTTTTTTTATTTTTTAAATCATCTTTTATTTTAAATTACAATTATGTTTTAAAAAAAAAGAGGAAAAAATTGACAAATTTCTTGATGCATAATTTTTTCAGAAGGATCTTGTAATGGATATCTCATTATAGACTGATAAAAACTGTAACATTTTGGTAAAGGACTACTTGTATTTGATGGGTTCAAAATTATGTACAACTCTGGTCAGAGGCAAGGAGGCTGATTAACATCCATCAGTAAAAGCTTGGAGCCAGCCATTCAGGAATGGCTTGGACAGTAAGAAATCTGTGAGGGGACCCATACTTAATTTACAACTCCATCATCACTAATATCTTGATCACTGCATCAAAATTGAATTTGAACAAGATTCTTTACATTAAGGTACTACAAATTTACTCAATTACAAGCAAACATCATTATCACAGTTCACAAATTTCAAGTAATTGTTTTTTTTAAAAAAAAAAAAAAAAAAAAAAGACTTGTAGTTTCCTTCAGTTTATCTCACAAATGAAGGCAAAACCAGTTTATTTGCAAGTATCTAGAGTTCTAAAGATATTTGAGGGAGCTTTATGTTTAACGCTGAGAACATATAATTATTCAAAATAACTTCTCATACATGTTTCTGATTATTACATCTTTAATAGAAAAATACAAAAAATTAACAAAATCTTAGAAAAAAAATATTGGAGAGATTGAGTTTTTTCTTAACCTCCCGTCAAAATTACAATGTGAGATGAAATTTTCTTTACTATAGATTTATTAATGGCTAACCCTTTCTTTGAAAATTCATAATCAATCAAACATTTTGGTTTAGGTGTTTTTAGTTAATTTACTAAAGAAAGGAATGGAAATGTAGGCCATAAACATTTAAGATTGAATACATGTTCACAAACTAATTACTTGTCATCACAGCTTGACAATTATGAGCCTTTTCAGGGCAAAATACTGAAATGCATTCAAAGAAAAACGATGGTGAAAATGGGGAAAAAATGAGTCAGATAGAATGGTGAGACATTCAACACCAACATTTCAGCAGAACTTGACCAAGTTTCCCACTTGAGTCTTCAGAGGTTCGTAATAATTGGGCACCAATCACTGATTTTCAGTGGCTTATTTCTGAATGTGCTCACTCGCCTCCGGATACGGTGACTTCACGCCATCCAGTATCAGGTGATTGAGCTGCCGCTGTGGTTATCGTAGGTGATGGAGAGCGCGGAGGACTAGTCTCACTAGCTTCACTCACCTGGTCTACTTCTTCTTCAGGTATTGTTTCTTCAGTTGAATTTTGACTTGCTAAGACATTTGTAGGGGCCTCTTGATCACGAAGAGATGAGGCGTCAACAGTTTCACCTGAAAACGTTCAAAAAGGTTTGAGTATACTTGCTCGGGTGAAAATTTTATTAAATCTGCAATCAGCTGATTAATTTGGCAAATCAAACCAGGAGGCGCTCATTGCATTCATTTTTGCCATGAAACTTTCTATGGTACAGAAAAGCATGCCTGCTTAACCCAATGCAATGACTCATTGAAAAATTTCGTCAAACACGTCATGAGCAAAACTGGCAGTGACAAGTTTAGTTGTCTGTGTGGTTGCACAACTATTTTAATTTGTTTCCCCCATGCTTGACAGCCTAAACAATTTCTATCAGTTAAATATATCAACCAATAGCAGACCTACCAACTGCGGACTATAACAAAGTGCAACTAGTGGAGGAACTTTTTCCCACTTCCACTTTCTTTCATCCCTCTAGTTTCACAAACGTTAAAAAAACATGCTTATCATGCTCATCATTTTATTTTCAAGCCATTACATTCATGTTAAAATACATGTTTTCCTTGTGGTTCACTTACATGATGATTCTGTAGTTTTCTGCAAATTTTTGAAGGTTGTGAATGACTTCAGTCACTGAAATTCCCCCTTTACCGCTTTTTTTTAAGTAGATAGGATCTTCCTGATACCACAAGTGGGGGAAAAGAGTGAATTTTTAATAAGAAAATATGCTTAACAATGTCAGTAAACCAAAAAATTAACTTAAAGGATTGAATGGAAAATAATAGGGCATCAAGAAACACAAACTGTTATTGATGGGGGTTTTGATTTTAATTTAAATGGGAGGTTAGAGCTGAGTAAATGATGAGCGAAACGGCATGAAAATCAGTTGAAAATGATGACCAATTTGACTGCTAGAGGTATATTGGTAAAAGAACCACAGTTTCAATGAAAACATTTTTTTTTTTTACTCATACATTTTTGAAATTAAATACAATCTCTTGCTGAGTTTAACTATAGTATTTGCTTGATTGACAATTTGATTTACTACCCAATTTATTTTAGAAAAAGTACCCAAAACTTTTAAAAGCTACGCACCAGGTCTCTTGGGCATTCTTTGAACTGTTAAAGTTAAGAAAATATGAGCTTATCAACACTATCTTTCATTGCAATTTAAACGATTTGGAGTACTTCACCACAAATGATTACAGCTGTAGGTAGGGCTGTTGCATCCTTAATGAGTAGCTGATTACGAAAGTAAGTAAGCATGAATACAGAGAAAAATAAACTACTTACCACATGGCCTTAGGACTAAGAATAAGAGCAAGTCTGACAAAGATAATATTCCAATGACTTTGTCTTCTTCATCTACGACCACCAATCTATGAACCTGAAAATCATCAAGATGATCTGTTAGGAAAAATCTTGAAAACATCTACATGTGTTAAAATATGATACAAAAGGAATATATTGTTCACGAAAAATGGAAAATTTGAGGATTAAAATTTGATCGATTCGATTTAAGAAGAGAGAAATACTCAATGGTACTGGAGAATAAGTGAAAACCTGCATAAATAAAATGGACAAAAAGTCTGACAGCTGAGCAATGCTATTATTGCGTCGCTGAGTCCAAAAATGACATCCATTTCTTTTTATTTTTCGACCTCCTTTTTGTAACCAACGTCTACTAAAGAACCCAAATTTTATAAAACCCATTAAACTAGACAACTGGTTCTCATACCTAACACTGGACCAAAGAGCAAGGGTTTCTAAATTTGCAAAATACGCTGCAGGCCAAAGATATGTCGCATGATTTCCCCCTGAATTTTCAAAATGGTAAAAATAAAGTTACAGTTTTTTGGCCATTAACTAAAGGGAAATCCTTTTTTATATTTTGGATTATCGTTTAGAAATATTGTTTGGTTTCTGCCAGAAAAGTGGCATTTGCTTATATTCTTGAATGAAACAACCTTCCTTCTGAAAGGCTCATCCCAATTTTCTTTTATTAACAGGAAATAGTACAATAAAACTAGGGAAAAAGGCTGAAATGTCATGTTTCTCCCCAGTCGCACAACAAGATAGTTATCTTACTTAAACGCACACAATACTTGATCATTTCTTCTTCTTCTTTTTTTTAGGACAAGGCAAAGGTTCAATTTACATAGTATATAGGTTTTTACAGAGTAATGCATTGCATTTAGCTTGAAATGGCAAATTTCTTGGTCACAAGCTTCCGCAGTCACATCTATCCACACATTTCTGTTTTTCAAAAGTTCTCGCCAGCAGCGCCAAGTTCTAATTACTGCGCCACCATTTGTTTTTATTCACTCAGTGCATGTTGGTGCTCACAAAAGCTGTCGATTGTTAAGTTTCCCAGAAATCTGCCCGAAAAGATTAGTGTTGTGGCTTTTTTAATTATCACGTTTGTACCTGCAATTAATTAACCTCTATTTTACCTAATGACGTAGGAATTCATTCATTATGGCCATCTATGTGCTCTAGCAAAAACTTCTAGACCTTTCCAAAAAATTTCTTCTCCATTGCTATAAAAAATATGGCTACTGCTATCTTTAGATGACGTCCTGCTACTAGATGAACCTTAGCAGTGGTTTAGCATACATTCTTGTGGAATAAAGAATGACTCGTGAACAATTGAAGTCAATATCTCCTTGAGGATTGATCTGACACAAAACAGATAAAGACCTTTTCGAAAAATCGCGATGGTCGATTTTTTGCCTGTAGTAGAAGACTTCAAAGACTCCAGTTTAAGAATTGCCCTCTTAGTTGTATGCTTTTTAGAAAAGTTTTAAAGATATAGTCATACAAACCTCTGCTCTAACTATTTTTTCCATTATTGAAAGTAAAGTTTCGTCTAGGGTACATTTTTGAACACCTTCAAACCATTCTGTTCGATGCTCGTTGGCTTTTTTCAGTGAGATATCCAAGTTATTGTAAGTCTTTTCAGCAGCTAAATTCTATGAAAAAAGAGGAAGAAAGATTAGAGGGGGTAAAAATTAAGTATTAGATCAATTATGAGGAGAACCTAGGACAGATAAAGACGGCTGAGTAGCTTATGGACAAGTAGAATTGCTACATCAAAGATAAATCTTATATCAAGTTAAGTTTTAAGATTAATTTGGTTCAGAGGAGAAAATTTCTGGGGGGTCACACAGTTACCTACCAGAATTTTGCATTTTTTCCACTTAATCCACCTCCCTTTAAATACTCGGCCACCTCTTCAGATCCGAGTTTTAAGTGTTAGTGGCTGCAATTTCTACAGAAAGCTTAAAACATATTTTTGACACATGTATTTAATTTGATGTATTGAAAAAATGAGCCACTTGTTTCATGAGAAAGTAATTATTATTCACATATTGCTTAGAAAAAATAATAAAGTAAAAGTGTATTTTCTGCAAGTCATACACTCTTAATTTTGTTGAAAATGATCCAGGCCTCATCTTTTTCCCAGATGCCTTTTCTATAAATCACAGTTGAGAATCTTTTTTATACCTTCATAAAGTGGCAGCAGCCTTCTGAATATATATAACTTTCCATCTAATTTCAGTTTTTTCATTTTTTAGATGATTCAATGAAAATTAATACTATGAATAAAGAACAGAACTTACAATCACATCGAATTTTGCAAAAATATCTACAAGACGTCCTTGGGGGTCAACCATGGGTAAAGCAGAAACACGTCTTTCGACGAATTTTTTTAGTGCTAAAATAATGGAGGTTTCCTCTGCAACTGTCTCGACATTTTCAAAAGTGCCAATTTTCAATTCACGTAACGTTTTGAAGAGATAACTAGGTTTTGGTAGGTCATGAATCTGCAAAAAAATTCAAAAGTTGGTGAGAGTGATCAATTTTTACCTTTCATGAGAAATATTTTTCATGATTAGAAACAAAGAGTGTGATTTCATGATTAGAAACAAAGAGTTAGATTTCATGATTAGAAACAAAGAGTGTGACAGTGCTTTAGAATTGAGATTAGAATTAATAATAATGCACTTGATTATAATGTGTTTTGCTGTTGAAAGTGTCACAAGATTCTCCTTAAATTTTTTCATTACCACAAACGCAGTATCTGCGTTTACTGTAAACATATTCTTCCTGTAGCATTTCTGCCATTACTTAGCAATCTCCACGGAAAACTTTGAATCATCAAGACTTTGGTTTAATGTGACATTTTTATGCACTTTCATGGCAAAAAATAATTGTGAAAAACGCTTTGCAACAACGGTGCTGATACTCAATATCCAGTTTTCCCATAAGAGAGTTCCAAAAAAGTCCACCTCTTTATGTATTGCAATGCTTATTCTTTAGGGTCTCACTTAAAAATACCATTCGGAGTTCATGAGACAACACTGTTGGAGGAACTTGATACTTTCCTTGAAAATTTGAAATAAAAATTTTAACAAATCAATTAAAACTATCTCAGCAAATAATACTTACATATAGGAACAAAAACCGCAAAATTCTTTTGTGAGTTAAAATGTAGAGGACATTACCAGTCACTGGATCAATTACTGGCAATCGATGTATCCTATTGTGGATCAATGTTTTAATGGCATCATATAAGGAACAGTCTGGACCAATACTCACAAGGGTTCTTTCTTGCCCCTGTAATACTATAAAAAATTCAATAATTTATTAGGTGATCACAAACATTTTACAGCAAAAAACAAAAAGAAAGTTGGTGAAACAAATATAGAGGGCTAAGAAAAATACCGCTTAACTGGAATTTTGGCGAAAATCAGTTGGCAACTTTGTCACATTCTAAAGTATAAAATAAGCACACTGATGTTTTTTGTTTTCTCCAATTCTGCATGGAAGTGCTGTAGTGACACTGTAATAAATAAAAAAAATTGCAAATCTAACTTCGAAATAAAAAAATAGTGACTTTTTTTCTTTGTCCTGCAAAATCTTCAGTTTGCAGATAGGTGGTATTGTTCTTTAGCCATCAATATGGCGAAAAATGCGAGTTGCAAAAGACATCAAATCAAATAATAACTAAAAGCTGACTTCGAATTCTTCAGTTTTCTGTGCAAGGTCTTTTCAAAGAAAAAGGGAAAGAGAAACATTCAGCGACATTGACGATAAATTGTGCCCTAAATCATATAGTAGAGACTGAGTTTTTAATACTCTCAAGTAACACTTACAGGCTACACACTTGTACAAATCTTACGATATTGAATTAGGAGCTGCATGGGTTGATGAAAAACATGGGATAAGTATAGCTTGATGAGAAGAACAAGAAATTTTAGATCAACTGGAGGGGTCAAAAGGAAATCGAACCTTACAGACTGGATATTAATTGATATAATGGAGACAAGACGTGTAAGCTTGCAAAACTACTCAGTTTGTGCAACTTCGTACATCATTCGTAACACACCAAAGAAACAGACATGATAATACTACAGAGCAGGAGGAAGACTAGGTAAAAATGGGGTTCTTACCTCTCCAAGTATCTATTTTGTGTTCTTCTAGTTCATCAATGGTTTTTGAGGATGTTGTGTAGTACATTTGCAAAATTTTAATGAAGTCGGTTATGGTAAGCATTCCAACAAACTCTTGCTTCTGGCTATCCCACAGAGGAGCAGCTCTTACACCTGCAAGAATTCATAAATGTTTCAGAACAACATTCGCTCAAAATCTTACAAAAAAAAGAGCTTCAATGTATTTTTTTAACATTTTAAGAATTTTTGTCACTGTATCAGCATTAATACAAACATTATATCTACCATGTTGAAAGGTTCAAAACATAACAATTAACTTAACACCCCCCCCCCCAGAGCAAAAATATCACAAATCACAGTATGTAGCACAATTATCTATTCAAGAAAGATGTCTTTAATTCAAAAAGTCAGAGAATTTACATATTACTTCTCAAATTCGGCACAAGCTTACATCCCTAAATCATTTTAAATCATCTACTGAACATCATGTATTTTAATACCTTGTTAACGAAGAGAATGTGTTGTATAGTATTTTTCTCCAGATATTTGTCAAGGTTTTCATTGATACGTGTGTTTCATTGATACTTTTTTATAATGAATTGTTTTCAACAAATTCATAACTATCCTCTTTGATCCTTTTTTCCTGGCAGCAAGAGGCACTTCGTAGATTTTACTTGAGGAGCAGAAAATTCCATCCTCTTTCTTTAATTTTCCATTGATGAAACGGTTAGAGCTTCAAAGACTAAGTTTCATTAATTTCAAAGCTTTAGAACTATGCTACATGTTTTCCCTCTAGAACCACAATTTGGGGGATTTAGATGATTGCACAGTTTATGGTGACCTTAGAATTAACTGTTTGAAACAGTGTCACAAAGAAAGAAAAATGTTAAATTTTTAAAAAATATGAATATACACATGCGGACTGAGATAGGGACAAGTTCTGACTAAGGAAAGAGAGATATGTTATGGTTCGTGGTTTTACCCAATTATACATACTAACAACTTACCATTATAGACAAGAGCAAAAAAAGCTTTCTTCACAAATAGCTGAGTGTCAAAAACTACTAGTTTTGCGCTTGTTGGAATCAGATCGTAACACTTGTGGAATTTGAAAAACTTAACAAAAATTTGACTTTCATCTTTTTCTGAAACAAAAAACAAAACACAAGACAATAATTAGAAAAGGCAAAAAAATAGGATCGTTAGTAAACTTAACAATACTGAAGTACAAAGAAGATCACTTTAGCAGAGTTGCATTTTTTTAGGAACAGTTAGGTATCATAGATACAGAGTTACCGCAGAATTTAGGAAATGAAATTTCCTCCCACATTTACCTGATTGCCCTGAAAAATTTTGGTAAAATTCCCTGACATGTGACAGTATGCCGAATGGTTACAAATCACCTATACTAACTCCAAACACGGAACATTTTTTGTTTAAAATGCTCAAGACATTCTAGAGAACAAATGAAGGTGATATTAAAATTTTCTCCTGATGTTTTCATCATTTTCCCTGAAATTTCCATCATTTTTCCTGACAGATCCCGGTTTTGTGGAAATTCTAAATTCCCTAACCCTTTTCACTTGCCCCTGATAGTGCGTGGAAACTCTGCAACTACCACAAGCTATCAGCCGAAAATTTTTTAACCCAATTCTCGAGAAAGGATGGTTCTCTCTTTAGTAAATATACTTCATAAATTCAAAATTAATAAAAAAAAAGAAATGAAGGATAAATTATTCATCTTTATCTGCAGTTGGGCGAATTCACTATACATATAACTGGAATAGCAAAAAATTTAAAAACCCTCATAAATTTTCTTCATGATTTGACGAAAATTCTTTGCACTTTGCAAAATCAAACATGCACCCTTCAATAATTAATTTCGATAATGTTTTCAGGAAAAACTCAGCGACGTTGCAATGCGTTTGTGCCCCTACTACGGCTTGCACCCCTTTATTTTTCGACGAAGGTTCCCAAGTTAAAAGCTCCTTCGAGTGGCGGATACAGCGGCGAGGCACAATGGATCGAGTTAACGGGAGAGGTCGGACAAAATTTGGAAACTTTAAAAGCTCATAACTCCGTTCATACAGAACTTGAGGTTTTAGAGGCGGTTCCAATGGTTTCCTCCTAAAATTTTCTATAAAAAGCATCCCTTAGGATTAAAACGGAGACGAGATAAGCGTAAAATTTTACAATTTTTGTCAAAGATTTCATGTCCGACCTCTTCAAAAGACTCGTTCCACTGAGCGACGAGGACACGACGCGATCACTGCCGTGCTAAGGTAAAACGCCGTATGAGCATTCGAATGTTGCCAAGTTGCCTCTCAGAAAATATTAATTTCTTTGGACAGTTATGCATGTTTTTTCTTGAAATTTTCAGGAACTTTAGATCAAATCACGAACAAAATTATTGAAAAATGTTGAGGTCAAAAGTTTATAAATATTCCCGAAAATTCGAGATTTCTTGAAGGATATTCGGCAACACCTGGAGGCTCATACGGTGTTCTTCCTTAGCACGGTAGATCAGCAGACGACAAACGAAAGCGACACACAGCCTGTGCTCGATTCCTCGGAGAGCGATCAATCAAAGGCGGCAGAATTCCGCCAACTGGACGTGTTTATGCTAAAAGGAACTAAGTGCATAGGGATTGCCTGCGACTTAGTTCCTTTCAGCACGAACACGTCCAACTATGCGAGAGATTAATCTTCGACTTTTGACACCTTTTCACTAAAATATAGTCATTGGATCCCGCGACGGGGCGAGCAAGTGACATTAAGTCCAGGGAGCATGCAGCTTAATTAGCGTGCATACTTTTTTACATTCAGCTCCGCACGCCGTCGTTAAGCTCATCCTCAATTTGTTTTACTAAATGCATTCGAGACATTTTCAGAGCAAGCCTTCCTTTGATTAGAGCGCTTTGATTCATGCCGCGCCCGTTGAAGGATCTCGAATTCGGACGAGAGTTGAAATTTCTTTAAGGTGAATCCAGGATGATTTCGGTGAACTGCAGGCACGTGTGCCTCGGTTTGCGACATTGAAGACTTCCTGCCATACTTGATCGTCTGTATAAGAGATTACACAGTAAATGAGGAGCTTGGAGGAAAAGTGCAGTTTTTGAAACATCGAGATGTTAATGATTTTAAGTAGAACTAGTCTGAATGCATATTCTGCGAAAAATTTGCTCCCAAATTCCGATTTTTGAGCATCGAAAAGTGCAGTTTTTGAAACATTAAGATGTTAATGATTTCAAGTAGAACTAGTCTTAATGCATATTCTGCGAAAAATTTGCTCCCAAATTCCGATTTTTGAGCATCAAAAAGTCAGTTTGAAATTTCTTTCCGCCATAAGGCTCCTTGTAATTTCGAAACTTCAAACGGGTGTTTCTTGAAATAGGAAAAACTGCACTTTTGCGCCTTGTCCTCCAAGCTCCTCAAATAAAATAACCAACATTTTGTGGTGATACGGAAAGTAGAGCACGACGTAACCTAAACACGCGGTAAATATGTTTTGGTTACCTAGTTTTTCTTTGAGTTACATTGATCAAGATCTTGGAAAAATTTAATCAATTCTTAATTTAATTCTAAAAATGTGTAACCTCGGTATAAAATGGCGCGAGCCGCCAGGATCGAATCTGGATCGCAATTGCGATATTCCGATGTGCTAGCCACTCGCAAGTCGCAATCTTTGAGTGACATCGAGAGAGGCTAGAGTACATTGGATCAGCAGGACAATTTCTTCAATCCTTGATTTTTCATGGAATCCACGCCAAATAAGTTTGCGCACTTTTAGACTGCGACAGAAGGTCGTTTGACGTCACTTTTACATGTTAAGTAGGTAAATGGGAAGAGCAAGATGACGAATCTCATATCACTGGCTCAAAGTGCGTTAACTTAGTTGACGTGGACTCTAGTAACTTACGATTTTAGTAGTTTAAACTAATTTGATCAATCGACCAGGTTCTTTTAGTTGATCTGACCGAAAAAAATTGGTAAGTCACAGTAACCCAAAAAAGCATTAAACACAGAATTTTGAAAAAAAAAAAAAGGTGCTCCTATAAGCCCAAAATATATGACAGTTCTATCGCCACCTTAAGGGAAGGATGTGGCTTCAGAGAGAACGACTGGAACCCAAAAATACGAACAAAATGCATTAATAAAGCTCTATATAGCTTACGACGCGCAAAGGGTAGAACAAACCAGGGCGCCAACCGCCAGTAAAATGACGCAGACGGAGAAGACAAGAAATTTATTCCAAAAATGTTTTTTTGAAAAAAAAAAAAGAAACGAAGAAAAAAACCTAACCAACGACAACAAGCTTGGATATTTTTCAAACGTCAGAGCCGACGGTGCGTGGACAATATATTTCCGTAATCGAGGAACTTGTATAGTGTTATACCGTTTCATCTGAGAGAACTGGTAAGGATGGACAACTTGAAACTAACCCTCACTTGCGTCATTCCACGACGTTTTGCTTGCGATAAACAACTGATTGAATATTCGAATTTTAAGCAGTGGCGTGGCGTGAATTGCGATAAATCGATTGTCTTGCCATTTAAACCAACGTAAAAGGATCGATAAACTGGGTATTCACAGCGAACACCTTAATAATCGATTATTTACCATAGGTTTAAATGGCATAACAATCGATACATCGCAATTCACGCCACGCCACTGATTTTGAGATGACGCGGGGGGAAGGGAGTCATCTTCCCGAGCCATCATTTAATCAAGCTCTTATCTTGAGATGATCTAATCATAAGGCAAATTATAATTATAGTTTTTCTCATATATAAAAATCAGAAACTGCTGTACATGGGACCACCAAGCGAGGTGATCCATCATGCCAAAAGTCTTCAATGGCCCTTAAAAATCGAGCTTGATGCGCCACATGGCTCCTGAAACTGAAAGACGAGTTTCGAACACTGTTCTTGCAAATCTAAACATTTCGAGAAAAAATATCAATAATTTTTCTCCGATATAAATATTTTATCGAGAGGAATTTGGCAACACTCGAATGTCCATATGATGTTTCTTCTCATCACCGTGGAGATTTGATCCTTCCTCGAATGCGACTCCGGGTCAAAACGTGACCTTAATCATAACTGTCATCAATAGTCTCTCGGGCGCCGATTTCTCGAGTAATTAATGCGACGAAAAAAGTTGAGCCGCGAAGCTGCTCTGGACATTAATTATCACGAAATCTCTGAGAACATAATTTATAGATTCATAAGTAGTGGATATGAATGCAACTTGGGAGAATCAATTATCAATCCTGGACATTCGAATAAACTGGGTGCGGGAGTAGTCGAGTGGTTTAATCTCTGTGTCAGCATGCATGCACCAAAAGAATGAAAGCACAAAAAACGTTGAATAGGTACGTACAAAGAGGGTTGATTAAATTGCATTCGAAACACACCTCGGTGGATAAACTAATAAAATAGCCTCGGAAAATATGGTTAAAATACGTATTGAATAAAAATAAAAACACGACGGTAGACGAGGATTTTTATTTCTCGTGGAGGGGGCATATTTTACGAATTTTTTATACATTTTCGCCTACTAGTTAGTTATTTGTATAGAATAAAAATAAAAACAAAATGTAACGACAGACAAGAATTTTCATTTCTCATGGAGGGGGCTTGTTTAGCGAATGTTTTAAAACATTTTCGCATTTTAGTTTTGTCGCTCGTTTTCCTTCCTAAATATTTTTTGATTTTTGGAGGGATCGAGCCCGGAACGAATTTATTTCTAATATGTTAACGCGCGCTATTCATCGCCTTGATTTTGATGGTGTACTTAACTTTCCACTTCGAAAACGGGTTTTTAAAATTTTAACTTTTACTTCATCCAAGAGAAAAACCTGATCTTTTACCATGCATTTTCGATGGGAAATTTTTGGTAGAAATATTCAGCTGAATTTTACGAACATACAGCGGTTAGACAAAAACTTTAATACAACAAATATAGGATATAAAGTGTATAACGGCGCAGGACAAGATGCGACGTTTTCTGCTGGTTCCGCCAGAGCACTATTCTATAATTATCAGAAAATTAGTTTTTGATCCTCTAAACTGCGTTAGAATATAACATGACCAGAACATTGGAACGGAGGGACAATGTGTACACGTACAACGTACAGGTATAA